TGTAAAGTGTTATATAAAAGTATTTTTTTGGGAAACACAAAGACATCACCTTGCTCTCTAGAAGTTTAAAAAGGAACTTTTTCTGTTGTGATGTGTCATTCAGGATAGTTACAAAATGAATCAGTTGTCGGTCCATTTTGGTTTTGTCCAGATAAGGCTCTGATATTCTACAAGGTCTCCCTAACAGAAGGCAGTTCAACATTTCTGAAAACTTCAAGAACTACCTCATTGTTAAGTCCACACTTTCACTTCTGTTCAATGCCTCATCCATCTCAAATTGCTTCAGGGCTGGAGTTTGATTGACAGAGAAAACTAAAAAGGACCTGAAGAGCAACTGATGAGATGAGTCACACGAACTTCAGTCAGGCATCAAAACTCCAACAAATTATTAATTTGGATGACTAACGGGGTACCCCCATGCACAGCCTATCTACGTTCTCAGGCGCCGCTCAGTTGCAGAAACATACAAAGAAATATAATTCAATAATCATTAACACTGATCATTACTTCACAGTATCCTTATTGTGAGGTCAGGTTCGCTCACCGTTATTATTAAATTGGCTTCAACTTGGTAGAAACCTTACCTGTTTCGTTGTATGGACTAGGAGGCAGAAATAAATAAATAATAAATAAATAAATGTTATTGACTGTCATTGAATTTGATTAAAGCTCCTGTTGGGAGTTTTTAACTGGTTATGAAACAGTCTGAAATCAACACTGGTGCCTCTATATAACAAAACAAAAGCTAACAAGGACATCAGCAAACCAATTTTGTATTTCTATAAAATTAATTTTAATGCCTGAAATTGCTTCGACGGGGTAAGTGTCTGACAGACTGTTTCCACTGTCCTATCCCAACGATAAAGGCCCAAAAAGCATTCCCTATGGTTGCCAATGGCAACACAACCCGAAAGTTCCTCACAGGCGCTTTGGCCTAATTGCTTGGAAGTGGAAAAGTTTTCTGAATAAAGAATCAATGCATGTGACTGTTGTGAATCAAATTGTGGTTCATTAAATCTTCTCTGGTTCTTTGTTTGAAAAGATAAATGGACATGAAGAGAATCACTTGTATTTTACTCAACTTTGGGTCTTTAGTCTCTTTTTGTGTGTGTTTCTTTAAGTGTCTCTGGTTCATGTTGGATAGTCCCACTGGGTCTGGCTCTTATTTCCACTACTCTGTATTTTTATTTCAATGCTAATGCTGTTCTCAATTAGCCTTTTGAAACGTGGCACTCTGCAAACACGATTAATCTCAGTCTGGATGTGAATACTGTTTAGACAATGTGTTTGTCTGCAGAGGTATAAAGGTTGATTATAGGGGTTTAAATGGTACTATTAGCTTGTGCTTACTGTTTACCTCTGCAACACTACGGATAACTACAGCCCACATCAGTGCCAACCTTATAATGAAGCCGAATGACCCTCTACGTGCAGGATTATGTAATAATACATTCTAATGGATGAAGCCTCTTTTGTGTAAAAAGGTTAATGAGTGTTAAACATCATATAATCACATTAAATGATATCATACAAAAGGATTCTTACAAATCTTTAACTCAAGGACCTCTCACTGGATCTCTTTCAGCAGCCTTCATATACAGACAGAATTCGCTCTTTTATAATGAAAGGTAAAGAGGTATTAAGAACAAATGATGAGAGTGTTCCACATTCTTTTCTTGTATTAAGTTACATTTTATATATATATATATATATATATATACATATATATATATATTGACTTTTTATAGATTAGTTAGTGGCATATCTATAGACAGCATCATGAGTTTGTTTTTGCTTTACTGCACATTCAGAGCACTTATAACTGATCTGAAAAACATGACAAAATGCTGCCAACTTCCTTTTATCAGGTTCTACTTAAAATTGAAAGGAAAATGCCGTGATTAGCGCTGTTGCCTCACAGCGAGGAGGTTCCCGCTTCGAATCCCCCGCTGGACAGGAGCCTCTCTGTGTGGAGTTTGCATGTTGTCCGTGTGCCTGCCCCGGCTTCCTCCCACAGTCCAAAGACATGCTCGTTAGGTTAACTGGTGACTCTTAATTACCCGAAAGTGAGTGTGACTGGTTGTCTGTCTCTGTGGTTGACTGGTGAACAGTCCAGGGTGTAACCCCGCCTCTCGCCCAATGACAGCCAGGATCAGCTCCAGCCCCCCGCGAAGTGTAAAGAAAATGGACGGCTGGAATATTTTCTCTTTTCTGCTCGTTTTCTAATCTTCTCTTTTTATGACTTATGTCTAAATTGAATGTGATACAGTATGTTTTAAATTATTTATTTCTTCTGTATACAACCTCATGAAGAAACCCTTTTAACACTCGACCTGGATTAGAAGTTTCATACTTCAACTAGAGCTCCAACTATCTTCATGTGTTGACTTTGGCGCCCCCCTGTGGACAATTTATCGAATGCTGATCTCGCTCTGTACATGTTTACTGTAGGTAGTGTCTACTGATAATAAACCCTCTTTATTATATATGAGCAGCATACAACTCATAATAAGTCTTCTGTAAACCGCCTCGTCTGACACCTACCCCGCCACAGCAGGGGTTACAGGCATATAATTAACGTTGTAAAAATAATCAATCTTCTTTCTGAAGGTACTGTTTGCTTCTGTGGGTCGTAAAGAGGCATCGGTTTTACAAAACAGCTAAAAGCTCCTCACAGGAGTTTAAGCATGCAACAAAATCATCTCTCTCATTAAGTAAAATACAGTTCCAATATGAGGTTCGATTCAAGTATTTTCGATGAAGACACAATGCATCAAATATTGAATGATCCAGAACTATTGAATTATTGACTGTTCTTATTTCCTCTGCATGGTAAACTGGTTGGGATATAGCAGGAGGAGAAAGCACAGACAGTCTCCTGTAAATATGCTAAATTGACTTTTATGAACTTGTGTGCGACTGTCTGACCTCTGTGGCATTTACGTTTTTGTCCTACAAGGCAAATTCCAGCCATCTGCTACTTCGGGCAAGTGAAAGCAAATGTTAGGATGGTTTTTTTCCCCCCTCATTCGCAGCTATTATCCGACCCACTCCTCTGCATCACATTAACCCCCCCCCCCCCCCCCCGCGTCTCTACCTGCCTTCAAAAAGAGCTTTAAAATTACACATCAGATGTTGAAAGTGCTTTGGAATTAGACTCAGCCATTTTCAAAGACGGACAAACAACATCTCTGTTAGATCCTCAAACACTACAGCTGCAGCAGATGTATAGCAGCTTAATTATACAAAGAAATTGCAGTTATTCATGTTTCAAAGGCACCAGTTCAAACAAAGACTCCTCACCACCCCCAACCACCAAACCTCCTGCTGTTATTGTTGCTGCTGTCGTTGTTGTTCCAGCTGTTTGTGTTGCTTCGTTCGATGTTGCTTGTACGTTTTTTTTTTCCACTCTCCTCTTTCTCCTCCACCTCTGTATTCCTCGAGTGTCACCAATCTCTAAGCCAGCTGTTAATCTAGAGATGGAGATGGAGTATAACAGAGCAGCACAGAAATGGAAAATTACCTCATCTCTGGAGTTTTCTTCTCATCTCCTGGCAAAAAAAAAACAAACAAAAAAATGTAAGTAAAGCATGAAGGTGTTTTAGAGCATGCTGTCACTCTCTAGAGAAATAAATCGACAATAAAAACTTATATACTAGTAATAAAAAAAACTCTAATTTCAACCACTAAAGTGGAATAAAAGCAGCTTGAGGAGCCCATTTAATTGCTGATGCATTACTGGCCTCTAGTGGTAATAAACGGTAATATGAGTGTAATGAATTGTGCAAAAAGCAATAATGCTGAAATAGAGGCTCTCTCAGAGGCAATATGGTGATGTTAACTGTACTTTTTATGACACTTGACAGGGCCAGTGTTTCTACAGAGACTTCAGTGTTGACTCAACTCACTGCTAAGAACTGTTGCCTCCATAATGAGGTTAATCTTCCCAGAAGATTCTCACTCATTACCCATCCGATAATCACACATCAGAGTCGCAGAAGACAAGGAGGAGGAATACATTTAGTCATGGTGGAATCCAGTCGTAGTAAAGATCTGTCTCGGATTAGACCAGGTGTTCTCTGGTTTGTTGTGATGCAGTGGGAATAAGGGGAAAATTAAACAAAACAAAAAAATCTTTGAGAATCCCAAAATAATTAATGTCTAATGGAAGCTAAAAGCTGCTAAACCTATTTTAATCAGGAGAGACTTCGTTAAGAATTAACAATTATTTAACAATTTAGGAAATAAACGTGCAGAGTCTTTGGTGATTAGACTCCATCATGACGACTTCATGTACTCTGAAAGGTAATGAGGCCGACAGCAGGATAGGATACCCCCCCTATGGAGTCTAGACCCTGGTGGTGGTGGTGGTGATTGAAGGATGCAGGATGTAATGAGGAGTGGGTTTCTGAGGCCGGATCTGAACTCTGCAGAGCTGGAATGGAGGTGACTGGGGCGGAGGAGGGTCTGATCCGTACCTTTTACTGCATGATTAATATTTGAGATAGTTTTTCACCCCAGCAGACACGGAGCAAAGAGGATGTAGATACAAGATGCGACCATAGGAGGCGTCAATACGGGGAGTGTCATACATTTGGAAAAGAGCGCCGGTGACGTCAACAGCGGCATTCTGAAAAATTGAAAGATTTTAAACTTGAGCGCTCGGAGTGGCCGCACAAAAAAGGCAGAGCACTTGTAAAAACAAGACGCTGGCCGCTGATAAAACTGAAGAAAAGACGCTGGCTCCCAGAAAAAAAACGCTTGGTGGACACGGGGCCTTAGGGGTACAAGAGGAAGTTTTTCTTGTTATCTCAGGAAAACAGAGTAAATAAAAAAACAGAGTAAATAAAACGGATGCATGACTGCTTGGGGCTTCCGTAGTTTTCCGCTTTAACTTCAATATTTTTAAAGACAAATGAAAGACGGGTAAACAGACGTGATGATCAGCTGAATTCTGTGCAGCCAATGAAACACCAGAAACAAAAATCAGGACAATCAGGGGTGATTATAGCACATAAACTTTATTTAGGACAATATAGCGAGCTTTCTCTCTTTTTGTCCTTCATTTTTTACAGAATTTGGTTATTTTTTTAATGGGAGCGTCGTCCCTGTCCGCTGGGAAAATTTCAATTTCCTTGATGATCCGCTCGGCAATGACCATGTTGTTGGCTGAAACCATCCTCCGAGACATCAAGTCGAACGGTCCCCCTAAAAGACCAAACATAGCTTTCATTAAGAGCAGTTTAACCAATAAAAATAAAAAATTTATGAATATTGCAGTTGTAATATTGGAGTTTGAAAGAATACACACCATTAACATCCAGTAGTACTCCTCCGGCTTCTTTCACTATAACCGCTCCTGCAGCGATGTCCCAGCAGTGGATCCCAATCTCAAAGAAGGCCTCCACTGCCCCGCACGCCACCAAACACATGTTAGTGGCAGCTGTTCCTGACCCACGGAGCCTGAATGGACAGACACATTAGGAGATGAACGGATATATGAGGAAGCATCATCATACAAAGGCTGTGAAAGAAGAGCGGAGTTGTTTTTTTAAGGATAGTTTTAGTAAGAGTGTTGGCTAAGTCCATGTTCAGTACAGTACTGTAGGGTCTTTCCTCTGTTTCTAGGGTCCTGTGTTCACTTACATTGTGAATTTTAATCAAAATTAAAATTTGTAAAATCATGGCAGCGGATAGCCTAGCCTAAAGTCATTACGTCTATTTTTAGGCTAATTTGGTTGCCGTTTGCACATCTCCCCGTCTCCCTTTCTGTCCGTCTTGATCAATTTCTCACTTTAGAATTAACTTTAAATCTCTGTAGATGACATCATCCAACAGTCTAGGTCTGCTTTTTAAGTGCTTCCATCACTGCAGCACCGGTCTGTTTGCCTTTTTCCTGGCAAAACCAAGCGGCGTCCAAAACGGACGTCTGGGGGTCGTCTTAAAAGCGCCGACCTTCTCTGGTCCAAACAAATACAGACCGTTCAGGACCAGAATCTGAACTTTGAAGGAGGACATACTGGCTGCTGCATTGTTGTCAGAGAAGCCAGCACTTCAACACAGCATTGTATCTTAATGTATGATGATGTAGTAACATATCTTTCATGATTTAGTAGATATCCCACATATTGGTCCTTTAATGTGTTAAGTGACCGTAGAAGCCCGGGTTCTTATGGAGGTTTTGGTTCCATTTGTCCATTTTTTTGATGCTGCTTCATAGAAATTACACATTTCTGAGACTTCAAAAGTTTATAATATGGTAAAAACAAGTCAGATTGGGGTCATTTTGGTTCTGCAGGTCTGTGGACACAATAATAATGAGTGTCTGTATTCACTTCACTTACCCATGCACTGGGATGCAAAGGATCTTCTTCATGGTGGAGAAGATTTTTTCAACTTTTTCGCAGCTCCTGTCGGTTCCGTGTTCAGAGATAATAATGGACTTGTGGATATCTGCAATGACAGCAGGCCAAAAGGAGGCCCAACAACTTAAAGGTGACACACTGACGGTAAAGGTATCCACTATCACACGTACAGTACAAGTTCAAAGTCCTTTTTAACCTTGTTGTTCTGCTTTAATACATCGTCAATTTGTTCTGAGAGAAATGTGTGACCTTGATGTTATTACTTCATAAGAATGTTTCCACATATTCAATATCAAAAGCAAAGGATGGAGTATGTCAGTGATAACTGAAACGCTGTGTCTCCTCGTTATTGGGACTTTATTTTTTTTTACCTCAAATATGCTAAATAGTATGTCCTGTATTTTCGTGTGTACTGCACAGTGAAAAAAAGTGTTTATTACCTTTTACATCTGACACTTCAATTTTTTCGTCGTCACAGAAAGCACCCTTCCCGTTTCGGCCTCTGTACATCTTGTTTTCCAAGCAGCTGTACACCACACCGAACTCCAACTGAAACAGACAGCTTTTTTTTTTTACCTTTCATGTATGAAATTTGGATCGTCTTCTATCACTGATTGTGAAACTCTTTCTCTATTTGGTATAACATACCTCCTTATTGACAGCGAAGGCAATGGATACGGCCACGAAGGGGAATCTGTGAATAAGTGGTTTTATGTACATTAGATTGGTGAGCATAAAGAAAAAACTGTAAAGATGCATCATTTAGACAAGACTCAGCTGTACATTTAAGGAAGAATGTGCAACATTTTCGACATAAATAAAGCAGAAATCAAGGATATCCTCTAAACGTCTCTCTGAGTCATTACTGTCTACAATGATTGACAAGCATGAGTCCCGCTGGCTGTGTTGTTTTCAGAGCTGTGTTTACATGGACGAGGCGGCCGGCTCCTCCCCTTTGCGAATAAAAGCTGTTTTAGTCAAGGACTAGCGAAAAAAGAACAACAAAGCCTACTCACTGCTCATTGAATCAAAGTGTTTTTAGATAGATGTCAATTTACATGCAATGTGATGCTACAAGCTAGCTCAAATGTGCTAATATTAGCTGGCATACACAACAATGCAGGCAAAAGGCGTCCTACGTTCAGCTTGCGCTTGACTTCTTAGTGCGAGTGGAGAGGCGTTGGAAGTGTGTCGCTGGAGGAGAACGGAGGCTTCAATTGAGAAATGAAGCCTGTTGCCAACCATACCAGGCTATAAAAATGTGTAAAAAAATATATATATCCACTCATTGGTCTGATTATGGACACACTACAAAATATCAAATCTGACCTTTAAATGGATTCATATCATTTGATGGGTATTTTTTGACCCCGTTATAAAACTACGACTTCATAAACACAATATAGCCGAGAGATACAAGAGATTCAGATCCTGAACAGTTCTGAGACTGCGTTGATCCGAGCATTACTTAACCCACGCAGCTAACGCTTCTTGTAAGCGCGAACATCTTACCCATGAACAAAGTTGGTGGTGCCGTCCACGGGGTCGATGATCCATGTCGGTTTGTCAGTTAAGTTACACGGCTCCCCCTTAGCGACTGACTCCTCTCCAATGAAACTGCAGCACAGATTAAAGAGCGATATCAGTAAGCAGAAGTATAAGCATTCAACGCAATGAAAAACTATGAAAGTGTGTGTGTGCTGTCTCACCAGTGATCGGGAAATTGTTCTCTAAGAGCCCCGATGATGATTTTCTCCACCCTCTCGTCGGTTTTAGTGACGAGGTCAACAGTGGAGCTTTTTGTGCAGACCTTTATCTCCTTCTCCCCAGCATCTCTGATTACCTAAAAAAGAAAAAAATCAGAGTATTGTCATTATCGTCACAAAATGTCTTCAGTTGCTTAAGAGATCTCTAGTTTGATCTTATGCTACAAACACATTTATAAGAAAAGATCTGCATACCGCTCCAGCTTTTCTTGCCACTCGAAGAGCAGCGTCGTATGCACTTAACCATGGGTCGCCCATTTTGTTCTTATGGAGGGGGGTGTTACTGAGAAGAGCCTGTAGATGACATGACATAAAGCTTGTAAAAGCACATCAGTGACTCAAAAGCGTCGAACAATTAAAATGTTGTCAATAAGAAATGCAATAACAATAAGTTAAAAGACTACAAGGTTGTTAAATATGAGGGGCGTGTTTGCTTTAAGGCCACTGTCTCTGAAGCTTGCTTGGCACACTTCCATTAGAAAAAGAGAAGGTTATGTAAGCCGAGCAGTCACGTGTTTCTTTTTTTCATCACCACAAGTTGAAGATGAGACGAATAACAGCGATGAAGAAATAGCTGACGGTAAGGTAGTGTATTGTACTTAAGAGCGTGGAAAAGTCATTCCCTGCATCTTTAGTTGACTTTTACTCATCTTTACTCCACTTGTGAAGAGATATCTACTTATTATGATGTTGATCACACATGCTTTGTTTTTCCTTTTTTTCACAAGTCTTTTTTCGACTAGTGTTCAAGATAGATCCGTCCAATCACGATCTGCACATGTCCAGCTTTGATTTTGACCTTATTCGGCTGTCAGGTCTTCTAACATGAGAGGACATTTAAGTCAGTCCTTTGCATTTGTACTCATGCCTTGGCAATGGAGCAAATTCTGACTTTGCATTTTACATTTACAATAAAAGTGGCTGTCTCCAAATATTGTATATGTTTGTCTAAGTAGTCAAAATTATTATTTTTTTTTCTATTGCTGGAGGCGTCATTTTTGGTGTGAATACAGCAATTCACATTTTAAAGTTTATTTATTATAGTAGTCAGTTTCTTATACTTGACATCATCTGCAACACTTTTGTATTTGGAGTCTAACATTTTAATATGTTATCTTAACTTTTGTTGTATGAGAGAGTTTCTCTGCATTTCCAGTTTCAATGATATAATGTCTGCAAATCCTGGCTGACCAGGTACCAAAAATATTTCACTATGCATTGAACTACTGTATGTTTAAATGTGTATGTGACAGGAATCATCTCTGCTATTAAACGTAACAGTCAAGTTCCATCATAGCGGATTCTCCATGAATAATCTGACTTCAGAGATAGTTTTTTAGGTGATGAGTTACACAACAATGACAGTTCTCCATCTCTATAATGATAAGCACACGAGTGTCCTGCATGATCTCTGAAAAAGTGAAAGATGAACCTTACCTTTGTGAGGTGAGGTGATGCTGTCCAAAGTAACCCGTTGCTGCCTGTGCACCTCTATCTGAAAATTGAGAAATGAAGCAACTTTAAAAGCCTGCATGTCAGAGTTGGAAAAGTACTAGCTCCGCCCTTGGGTGTTTCTTCATAGCAACTCGAAGAAGAACAGTCTGTGCTCAGGAAGCCTTGCAACAACGGCACACTTACTGTACTGCTTATGCATTGAGTATCTACAGAGGGATTAGTTGGTGGAAAATTTCCATAAGTCTGATTCGACTTCTTCTACTGCACGATGTGGCGATGTCACTGGCAGACAAACCCTGCTGATGACACTTCTGTCACATATGTACAGAGAGTATTTGACTTGATGGTTTATTTAAATGCTTTGAACAGAAAGTGCAGAAAAGAAGACGCCGCACTGTCAGCCAATAAACCCTTCCCTCAATCTGTTTTAACCGAGGTTAAAGTGGCAGAGATATGTGGAGAGAGAGAGGTAGACATGTCAGCTCCTGACTTTTTTCCACACAAGATTGGACATGACAAACAATGCTCCAGTCAGTTTAATATTTCCTGACAGTTTCAAAGCTATTCAAAGTCTCCCCTACGTCCCTTTATTGTATTCCACTATGGCAGGAAATACTTTGCAGGGTCTCCTGGTGAGTCAGAGTCGATTATGTAGATTTACATGCACCTGCCTGACTGGGCCTGCAAGAAGTTGCACGAATAAGGTAGAAGGGGAAAAGAAAGACTGCTTTTCATTTGATATGTTCTCCAATTCTTTGTTTTCAATAACTGAAAATATTTATATTTACATCTAAGTTGGACCTTTTCTTTTTGCTAGAAGCAGCAAGATACAACAGAAATCTATTCATTTGATCATTTTTGTTACATTAAATGAACCAATGCAACTCCTATACAAACAACTCATATTGAACAGACTCATGTCAGACTGTTCATTTCTGACACATAATGTATATTACATAATCCAGCAATAACCAACCATATATGATGCAACTTTTCCTATGTTGACCAATATCACTGTTGCAACAGTTATCGTTAACACACACGTGATGGTTGTGGTTATCGTATCTTACAGGAAGGTGAAGTTCCTTAAATAAGAATGAATAGTCTGTACCTCTGTGAAAAACAAACACAAAACAAGAGTCACTGCACGGTACAATTTTTTTGAATTTTAGGCCCACAGGTGACTTACTTACCAATCATTTTCATTTGCAAGAGAATAGAGAACCCATGCACACTGTTGATTTATTTGTATTTATTATACAATAAATATGTTTCAGTCCATTTATATTCATGACTGTGTGAAACTGAACATGTGCACAGGCCTGTGCAGTCAAGATTTAAACTTTGTTACATTCATATTGAGGCCCGACTGATATGGGGGTTTTGGTGCCGATACTAATATTGATATTTGGAAGCTGATATTTGTGCCGATATCTTTCTTAGATCTATATTCAATCTGTAGAGATAGATATAGATATACACTTTCATTGCATTGATCCCTTAGATGTTATCATACACTTGTGGAAAAGATTTACAGTATGACATGGACAAGATGGTCACTCAAACGGAAAGTAACCGTGCAAGTACGTGCATCACCGCTTGACACTCTGGTTTAGTTTGAGTGCCCCAGGTTTGAATCTGGCCTGTGTGTCATTCCTCGCATGTCATTCCCCTTTCTCTCTCTTTCTCTCACCCTGATTTCCAACTCTATCCTGTCTCTCAAATAAAGGCACAAAAAGCCCAAAGTAAAATCTAAATCTTAATTAAACTGTAAAAATACTTCAAATGTAAGTTAGCACATGATATAATTCATGAAGGTGTCTTCTGCTCTTTACAGGTAAAGATGAGCACACCTGTGTGTCTATTTGTGAAGTTTTGTACATCCACTGGGGGTCCCTAATCTCTGGCACCATTATTTTTTGGGGTCAGGAGCTGAAAAGTTTAGGAACCCCCTATTAAAACTTCAATCAGCTTCTTTTAAAACAACATAACTTTGTATTGCAAACCCTCCTACCTGGCTGCAAGACAGATTGTTCAATTAAATTGTGCAAGTTTTAATAAACTCACAATAAGACCCCTTCTTCTCCCCTTCTTCTCCTTTAAGGTGACCACAATGATAACGTCTTTGAAAACATGTAGACAACAACCAGCGTCTATGTTGTACTCCAAGAGACTCCTTCTCTAGTTTTTAGTTTTACTGAACCTTTTTCAGGCACAGATTCAAAGATAAAAACGAGAGCATTCATTAGTTTAAACATGTTCTGATATTACTTAAGAAAGCAGAATCAGACAGAGCTATTTTTTCCTGGGGCTTGTACAGACATGATGATCGTCATCACCACCACACCTTGCACAAGGTTTATGGATGTTGAAATACCAAAACCCTGTTTTTTTTCTATCTGCTCTTGCACTTCATGAGAAAACATTGAAATGCTACTTCTGAATCTTAGGAAGTGTTTGTTATTGATCACTGTATGACAGAAGTTTAGTTAAAAGAAGAAAACGCTATAAAAAAAAAACCATTGTCACCTCACTAAACAAGTGACTGGATCCAGGAGATGTAGCAGCTGAAATAAACAAATGTCTGCTGAATGTACCAGATCAGTATGGGGTATCACAAAGTCGGGATTTAAAGTTTTGTTTGACCGAGAGCAGCAGGAGAGCAGTTGTCACCCTGTTGTCCCTGTTGTGCACTAAATATAAGACGCGCTCTAAAACGTTGGGAGACAGGCTGAGGGAAGTGATGGGACAAGGAAAACAAATACATCAGTCCTGCTGTCACCCTGGCAGGTCCGTTATGAATAATTTATCCAGGATGACGGATGTTTTGGATGTTTGGTTCCCTGGAATCACAGCTGTAACTGAGGCCTGCCATGATGCTGAAGTTGCTGAAGGTCAGCGGTGTGACCTGAAAGATGAGCAGGAGCTGTTTCCTGTCTCGAGTGCTTTATTGTCCTGTCACGGAGCCCCTTTTGAGTTTTCAGTCAACAGCCAAGCTAGCAGCTCTATGAAGCCTTCCTGCGGCACATTGGTGCTTGAAGTTGAACGCTAACCTCGGGATGCTGACTTGCTCACAACCGCCTTTGGCTAGCAATATTAGAAACATCTGATAATTAGCACTTAAGACAAGGTGTAGCTCAGGCTGATGGGTGTGTCACTAGCTTTCGAGGTATTACGGAAAAATCAAGAGTTAGAGAACATTTTGGCATGTTGGTGGTGCTAAATAAGAAGTTAGGTTCCTCCACAAAGAGATCTGGAATCTGGTAGTCTCCTGAATATGTTTCCTGCATTATATATCGTTCTATATATTACTTTCTGGGACAATTCACCAAAAAACATTGGATGTGAAGAGGCTGGTGGTGCTAGAAGAGAACTCAGAGGACCCCCCCCAAAGACAGTAAACTTCGTCTTCTAGGGACAAATGAAGTCTCTTCCAGATTTCATGGTAATCCATCCAGTAGTTTTCCAGATATTTCAGTCCAAACGAGAAACAAATGGGATGATCACCGTATTCCAGATGAGAATACAGGGCAAGAGGCGGATGAGTCACAGATGTTCTGCATGTTGAACATATTACGAAGTGGACCAGTTTATCTCCAGATGTGGTCGGGCAGATCTGATCACACTCAGATTTCAAGACATTCAAACCATTTATTTAAATGCATCTCTGTTTATCCAGCTTTCTTTAATTACAAGGTGTGAATGAGGTCTACCTGACATCAGCCTTGACTCTAATAAGATTAAAAGAATCTAAAAAGAATTAAAATGTGTCCAGAAGTATGAGCTTGTTTCAGCTTGGGGGTTCATAATGTGGCAGACAATGCTTCCTTACTTAGACAGGCAGGATATCGAGCTTGGCAGATCGTCACTACATTGGTGAAAGGACCTGAGGATGGCGTGCACCTGATGACATGTAACCGAAAAAGGTAATGAATTAGATCTGTGAAATATTCTTCTTTAAAGTTGCTAGATTATTTGACCAGTAGGGAGGCTGTGTCCAATTTCCAAGACATGGTTTTGAATTAGTTTCAAACGGGAAATTTTACAGACAATTAGCTGTAGGGTGTTTCGCAACCTGTTGTTTTTTCCTTTAAGGGTTCTGCTTACAGATCCTGTTCATCAGGTTCTGTCAAAGTCAACAAATTAAAGTGCTTCACATACCTTGTTAACTCAAAAGAGACATACTAAACCAGAATCAGAGTTACCACAGCTATGCGGCAGGGGAGGGCGGACACTGCTGTAAAATTCTGTTATGCTACAGTCAACAGCTCTATCTTGGGCAGGTTCTTCAGCATGTTAAAGCACCTTAAGCCCGACATACACTGTACGACTGCAGAGAAGTCGTGGTGGTATGTCAGCTCATAACTGTACGAAAAGTTTACAATGCACAACCACAGCTTATGATTTATGTGCTCACAGTGTATGACCCAAATGGCAGAGCATTCACAATGTCAACAGAAAACTCCAACAGACTGAGGCGTATTTCAGTTGTCTCATATGCATCTCATAGCTTTACACACACCGGCAAAAACACTTTTATGCTCTCTACTTTACACACAGCATCTGCAGCACCTAAATCGTAAAAAATATGCCGTCAGCTGGAGGTCTGCAGATAATTCTGCCACAGCTTTCTTCATGAGGACAGACAGGCAGGCCTGCTGTTGCCATCCAAACGCCAGGAAGCTCCATTATCATGCACGGTAAAATGCTCATTTTATCGCTTTATTGGGCTTGAAAACGTTGCTTCAGAAAGCAACAGGTGATGTCATCCACCTAACCGCACTGCTAGTATAGTTAAACTGCAAAGCAAAGTGATGTGACGGCAGATCACACAAAGGGATGTTGGGTTTATGGAAATAAATCTGACCGAGTAACTGAAGCAGAGGAGAAAACAATCCAAAAATAAACATCTACAGAGCCGACCTCTAGGGTCACATTTTTGGGGATTTGGCAAGAAGACACAGCTTTGCCAGCTTTTCAAAGAACAATGGTTGGTTCCTCCTTCAGCACTAAACAGGATACATTAAGACAAGAAGGTTTTAGTTGACTTTTCCATTCAAAGCTTTATGAAAATACAAAAAATACAAAGATTTGTAGCCCAATAGATCAAATGAGCAGCTGTTGATGTAAAGGTGGAGTTGACCAGAGAGGACTTTCATCCGTCTGACTTTAGAAACCTTTTTCCAGCAGTGGGGGATAACGTCTAAACCCCCTGCTGCAGACTAATACGGACCATTGATTTCTGTGGAGGGGGGCGCACAGCAGTTTAAGACCTGGGTTTGCTCAAGTTAAGTGTTTTAAAACCATTTTTAGCCATCAGCAAACATCAGCTAGATAAAACTCTGGGCTACTTCATAGAGCCCTCCCTGGGAGGGGGGGTAGAGAGGGGGTCGTCCATTGCTCTGCGTGTGCAGTAACTTCAGCACTGAGTGAAAGGGCAGGGGAAATGCAGCAGAGAATTTTACATGGTGTAATGGTTGTGAATGCTTTTATATCTCTACTAAATCACTACGGCAGCAGTCAGTGTTTTTCCCCCCCGGTGTTTTATGGAGTTTCCAAAGCCTTTTTTTCAGTTTATTTGGTTTCCTGTTTGCCACAAGAGACACCTTTCTTTCTTCATATTCTTACTTTACAGATTTTACAAAGAGAGTAGTTTGTCACTTTTCTGTTTTGGATATCAAACATGGACATTTATGTGTTGGGAGCACATTCCTGATTCATGTCCCTATAGTAGGATGGTGCTAAAGAGCATAGCTGGAGATTGTAGACAGCGAGATTTTATATTCTCCGATGTAGGCCTAGACTAAATCACATTTCCAAACAGGTGGTGGAGTAACAGCTTTGTTTTGCTCAAACTGAAGGAGCAACATTTTGCAGCAATATCACAGTGACATGGCATAACAAGGGAGCAGTGTTGGCACACTGTTTTATTTCTTAATCTTCTTGTGTATGTTGTTGTGGATGATTTATCTGTAAATTTCAGAGGGGACAGGCGTCAACAACAAACTCAAGATTGTATTCTGTCAGTTTTACTTTGCACAAATACTCACACTCAGGCTTCACTTGTGTTGATTATATCTGTCTTCAGTTTTTGTGTAGCTAACATGTGGATGCATGTTCCTCGTCCCTCTATAGAGGGTTTAGAAAGAGGCTGAGCACCAGTAGGAGAGGATAGTGACTTTTTATTTGCAGCATTTATTACATTCTTCGACAAAAACCCTTTTTTAAACACACTGCCTAGAGAAGCAGTTATACAGTGCTTGGTGTACATCAAATACAGTACAAACTCCTGAAGGGCATTAAAATGTATTTTCAGACTGCATAAAGAAATAGTCCTATAAATAATTGAACAACAACTCATTCATCCCAGATATCTGACATGAATTATCCCACAAGAAAGCTAAATGAATGTTAAAAACTTGAACGATTTAAAGGTCACATATTATGCAAAATATACTTAACCGTGTTTTACAAACACTAATGTGTGTCTCTAGTCCATCTACAAAGCCCCCAATGATGAGAAAAGTCCATCCTTTGTGTCTTTTGCCTGATCCACTTTTCAGAAAATGTGTGCTCAAACATGTGCACATCACAAAGTAGCCCCTCCAGGTGGGTGACACTCCCACAGTTAGGTGTTTGTTCTACCCTCTGAGTCTGCCTTCACACCATAAACAATAGGACATGGAGCGAGAAAGTCAGAGCCCCCCCAGCCCTTCTGGGGGGGGGGGGGGTCAGACACAGCTCATTTGCATTTAAAGCTACAGACACAGAAACAGCCTGTTCTGAGCAGGGCTGAAATAGAGGGGTTTATAGGCATGATCAAATACAGGATCAGAGTGGATTTAGAACAAGAAACTTCACACACATGTTTCTGGGAGCTCTGAGACCCATTTAAAATTTGGTGAAAGAGGACTTAAATAAATTAAAGAGCCCATATTATGCCCTTTTTGGGGTTCGTATATTTAATCTACTTTTGTAGGTTCACAATAGCTAAAGTCAGAAAAAAGTGTCTGTTTTCATGTACTGCTCCTCCTTGCTCCCTCTACGCTCTGAGTCCGTCAGCTACACTCTGTTGAGCCCACACTGTTAGACCCCACGTGGGCCAAGTCTGCTCTGATTGGTCTGCCGATCCGCTCTGTCGTTATTGGTCAGTTGCTCAGCACGCGTCTTGGAAATTTCAACATGAGCTGCAGGACTTGCCACAACGAGCCAATGGGCTTAGATCAGTGATCTCACACTGACAATGACGCACTGATAATTTTTTATCGAGGGGGGCTAGAACCGAGCGTTCCATGCAGCTAATGCTACAGCTAACAGGAGGACGTAGGAGAAGCTGCGTTTCCGTGGACTTTGAATTTTTGCACATAGATGTGCCTAAACATGAACAGGACACTTGGAAAACACACTAAAGGGCATGTAAAACCAGAAAAAGCATAATATGGGACCTTTAAAAAGAGGAATTCCATCAGGGATGTTGTTCTGACTGCATTGTGCACATGAATAAATACAGACAACATGAGAAATTATTGATTAAAAACAAGTGCATTTAGACCACAGACAATAAACATTAATCACGTCATGAATGTCCTAATAAGAAACGTTTCAGCAGAAGGACGGCTGAAAGCCTGGAGTGCTGTGTCTTTAAGAAAACCCGCTTTGCTGTTCTTCAGAGGTACGTTTATTGTTTTGGTTCTTAAGGCATAGAAGTGATCATGACTATATGCAAAACAGTTGTGTGTTTAAAAACCTGTTCAGTCTGCCGAGAGGACGATGATGGGGAATTTATTAGCCATCTGTGTCGTCCCTGCCAACGTCAAACTCTGTGATCTCCTTGGCGATGCGTTCTGCTATCACTCGGCTGCTGGCGACAATCAGCCTCCGAGACATCAGATCGAATGGTCCACCTGGAACACAGAGAAAATAATAAGTAAGCAATACTGAAATCAATTATTTTCTCTATGTGGTTATGTTGGTACGAGACTTTAAAGTTGTCTGTCACCATGTGTGTTGTACAAACATGAAAGAAACAGATGAGGATCAGACGATACATGTTGAAATCTCTTCTTCTTTCTTTGTCTAATTCAGACACATGCACTGTTGGATTTTTTTTTTTTACTAGTTGTCTTCAGAAGAACATCACTGGCTTATATGTATAAAACCCCAAACATTTCAAAGACAATAATGCATCTTATGGAGCGTTTGGAAAGTCACTTCACATATCACAGCTGTTGGTATGCACAAACAACATCACTGAGTAACCAGGTTATGTAAGGACAATCTATTATTCAGTGCGATTCAAAGAGTTCCAACACTCCTGAGTAATAATAATATTTGATGTATGACTTGTCAAAGGTGTAATAAAACAATACTGGTCACAATGGCAAAGGCAGCGAACGCTCCCCTCCATAAATCTGCTTTAGATTAATTTGCTGCTACATTTTGAGAGATGGTTGTGTGTGTGCGTGAACAAATGCTAAAAACTAAGTAAGTCACCAAGGGATAAACAGGCATACTAGGAGCAAACGGTGATGGCGTGGGCGGAGAATCACCAGCATCATGATCCCACTCATATCAAAGTGTTATCAGTGAGTTAGACCCTTCTTCTGTGACTCTGCTGGATGCAGTGATTCGCCTCATACGACCCTTAAAAGTGCAAAAGAAGAAGCTAGCTATGCTGCAGGTCCTCACTGTCCTAAATGTCCTCGATGAAATGGCAGCTGCTATAAGTGCGGTGCAATTCATCGCCATATCAGCATCTGGTAAAAGGAGCATTCATGTCTCCTTGATGGACGTTTCAGGGCTGGAGCTGGTGTGTTTCCCCCAGCCAATGACAGCACACAGGTGAGATTAGAAGTGGATGCCATTCAGCAATTGGACGCAATTTCCAACCGCTTTATATGACCGACATGGATGCAGTGGCAAAGAAGAGAAAATATAATCATAGTGAGGATGAACCTTGTGTTGGCTTTTATCCGAAAACGGATAATCTGCTAATAGTCTGCTTTCTGTTGGACAGGCAGGGACAAAACACCGGGGGTGAGCTTGTGCTAGCGTGCGGTAGCTTGCAGTGTAGGTACAAGCAGTAAATGTACGCACTATGACCTGCAGTGAGTGTGAGCTTCTGCAGGCGTGAGCCCAGAAGGGGCCCAGTTTTTATTTTGTGTTTACAAGCTGCAAAGAAAAAATGCTACTGACTCTTCCTTTAAAGGGTGAAGAAATGTTTCTTGATTCTTTTGGATTCAGGAGAAACATGGAAAAAGCAGATGGTCATACAAACCGTGAGTCATCTCTAATGCACCTCGTCTCACATCGTGCAGGCCTAGCTGTCAGTCACTGGCAGGGTTTTGTAAACTCTAAGATAAAATGTGTCAGACTCTGCTGCTTCCCTTTTCCAGCACAAAGCCACTATCTGCCCTGCCTCCTTTTTCTGACTGCGACATGTGTGGTCATACAGAAGGGATAAAAGACGACAACAATGTGGATTAGAAACTCTAAATGATGCTTAAGCATTAATAGCCTCTGTTGTGTTTGTGCTGGGGAAACAGAAGGCAATAAAACCGGCTTTGCTCTGTACTTCCTGTATTTCCTTCAGAATTTTTTCTCCACAAGCCCACCACCTTGCTGCTGCTTGTTTGCTTCACTTCACCCAGTGCCTCAGCAGCCTCTGAACAGTTTGGTGTGAAAACCTTATGTTTTGTCCGTGACTCACCTGAAATGTCCATGATAACTCCTCCGGCCTCGGTAACGACGGCTGCCCCTCCGGCCATGTCCCAGCAGTGGATGCCCATGTGGTAGTAAGCGTCAGCCGACCCGCACGCTACCAGACACATGTTGACAGCTGCACTGCCCGGGGAGCGGATACTGTGGATGGAAATGCTCTGTGTTTGACTGCTTGTGACACACAGTTATCCTTCCACTTGGTTCAAGTCAAAGTTTAGTTTTTTGTGAGAGAACATTTAAAGGAAAACACTTTCACCTCATGTGATAGAGGAAGTCGAGAAGAAGTCAGGAAACACGAGGAGGAAAAAGAAGTGTGTGGCATGCTACAAAAGGGTCCATCTGCCGGGAATCATGCACATGTGTCTGAACTGTAAGGATATCAAGGCGTCACTCTTTGGGGAAATAATCGCAGAGTAACTCAGGATGCAATATGATACCCGATAAATAACCCATTATATCAAGATACAGTGATTCGGCCATATTTGATCAATTTTAAGACAATGACAGAAAGTCCAATACCATAAATGTTTGACTATAGATGACAAAATGCACTAACAGGTAAAGTCCAGGTTTAATATCATACACACCAATCACAATTTCCCTCGGGATCAATAAAGTATCTATCTATCTATCTATCTATCTATCTATCTATCTATCTATCTACAAGTAGTCATGAAGTAGTGATACAGGAAGTAATATGTTTAGAAAGCCGTATTACTTTTAAATCAGAAACACTCCTGAGCTCTCATGTCTCATAGGTTACTTGTGATCCTTGTGAAGGACACCCTCCGTATCCTTCTTCCTGCTTCTTATCCCAGTTTCGGTCGACAGCTGTTCTTTGCCCATGACTGCCTCTTAAAAATTCTGTTTTTTCTTGCGACTGTAACTTTGTGCTGTGCTCACGATGGATTAATGTTGTAATGTCTTTGTAATAAAGCAATGAGTAAGGTGTTTTACCTGCTTTTTGTAACATAATAAAGATTGATTGATTAAAATAGCAATATTTGGCCCCAGCGTAATAATGAGAAAATGTATTGTATTAGGATAAGCCCCTTGAGGTGTATCACCTCGTTTTCAAGGGGGTCCCAAACATATATTTACAAAGACACAGGTACAACACAGCAATACAAAACACACTACAGACGAAACAAACAAAGTAATACACACAGCAGAAAACAACAGCAACAACAACAAAACAAAACACACATGGGTAAGGACGACCATATGTTGCTGTATTGATATTTTGATATCACACCTCTACTTAAGAGAACTTTAAATGTTCTAATGACTGAGTCTGCCATTCCCTCATGTGTCTCAAACTACCTTAACACACACAGTGTATTCACAAGAAACCATGCATGAACGTAATCCAGGGTAACTCATTTCAGTTTTCACTTCCCATTGTCACATCAACGCTGTACGGCATCACTGCAACCACAACCAGTGACACTACTTTTCAATGAAAGCCTTCATTGCATCAACACACGCACCAGTTTGTGTTCTGTTGACTTCCTGATGTAACTTACTGTTACTGTCCATAACAACAGGACTCACCTAATCAATCAGGACTGACATATCAAGCATTACAACATTTGCATATCTGTATATTTACCCGTGCACAGGGAGGGAGATGATGGTCTTCATGTTGGCCATCATTGTTTTGAAATGCTCCGGATTTTTCTTGAAGCCCATTTCGGTCAGAACCAGAGACTGGCTAATATCTGGGTGATAAACATAGATCAACATTATTCTAAGAGTATTAATCTTCAACATTACTCAGCAAATTAAAGTTGTCATTCCTCTAAATAAAAACACAGAATCTCTGTCTGAAATGTACAACTACTGAGCTGTTAGTGCATGCAGAGACTCTTGCTGTGACCTTGCTGCCACCTAGTGGAGTTTGTTAAAAACTGCAACATTAAAGCTTGATGACTTTATCCATCTTTACCTTCCTGTCCAGACACTTTGATAGGGACTCCATTGCAGAAAGCTCCTTTCCCTTTCCGTGCTGTGTACATCTTATCCTCAATGCAGCTGTAGACGATACCAAACTCTACCTGAGGGAAAGAAGCCGCACAGACAGCAGCAGTGAATCATGGTGTGGGAGGAGGAGACAATATAAAGGCAAATATGAACAGAATAATGCTGTTCTACTTATCAGAAATTCATTATTGGAGCGTTAACTATGCTCATGTGTCCTATAATTAAGATGTTACAGTGTCAAAACAAATAAAAACAAACAATTAAGACGAACCTCTTTCTTCACAGTGAAGCCGATTGATACAGACACAAAGGGGAACCTGCACAAAAGACATTAACAAGAAACATTCACTTAATGAAGTCCCTCTTGGTTTTAGCTAACGAGAAACGTTTTTCTATTATCAGTTCAGTTTCATCTACGTTCTCTAATTATCACTGACAGGGAGGACAATCCAAGAGAGAACCTAATTAAAAGATAAAAATAGATTAGGAGCGACCAAGATCAAACAGACCCAGAGCAGCATCAGGCTCCTCAGTGGATTGTACTGTGTATCAGAAACGGGCAGTACCTGTGAACGAAGTTGGTGGTGCCATCGATCGGGTCGATGATCCAGGTTGGACTGTCGGTTAGAATGCTTGGGGCGCCCGCTGCTACAGACTCCTCACCTATGAAACTGAAGAAGACAGAAAATAAAGGAAATTGACACATTTATATGAGGGCTGTCAAACAATATTTTTTTAAATTGGTGAACTTCAATTAACTGCGATTAATCACGTTTTTTAATCGCATGTTTGAAATTCTATTATTTAGAATTTCAAAATAGTTTCAGTATGCTTTTATTTTGTTATTTTGTACTGTTTTATGCTAAGGATGCTTTACTTTGCATTCTCATACAAATGGAAAAGTGATTTTATTTTGAAAGGAATTAAGGAACTTCCTCCAGACCAAGCAAATGAAAATGGCTAAATGGACGGTAAAAAAAAGTGAACCATTGAACCTGAGCTGTCTGGGAGTTTTATTAATAGTGAAATTAACCATTTAAAGTCACAGAGGTGTCATTCTTTTCCATCAATCTGGCTACAGGGACAATCTGCAGTTGTTTACCTACGGTGCGCCTCAAGGGACAAAATAGATGTCACGCAATAGATACGTTTTTTTGTTCGTGTTATTTCTGACCTTTATCGCTTCGTTATTAACATATAAATGCTGACATGCCTCATTTCTAAGCATCTGCAGCTGTTGAAATTGTCCCAGAAGTTCTTAAAGGTCCCATATTCTGCTTTTTCTGGTTTTATATGCTCTTCAGTGTGTTTTCCATGTATCCTGTGCATGTTTAGGCACATCTATTTGCTAGTTTCAAACTTTAGCTATTGTGAACATACTTTAGTAGGTACATAGATTAAATATACGAACCCCAAAAAGGGCATAATATGACCTCTTTAAGTATTTAAGGATGTTGGCTATAGCACTGCATGGACCAGTTCAAACACCAAGACTCTGATCCTGCTTAAAATTAAATGACAGAAAACTCAACCATACTGCACTTAAATGAAACCAAATAAACATTTTAAATTGAAACATTCAAGGCTAGAATATTACAAGACAGCATGAAGATAAAGAAGAGATTTAGAGAGACTTCATAAAAACACAATTTCTGATAAATGATCCTTCATTTCTTCATGCTCTCAACTACAACCATATCACGCAGCAGACACACCACCTCGCCTGTCCTTATTTGCTAGTCAAGTACCTGTGAGTGGGGTACTTCTCCTTGATGGAGGATATAATGAGCTGCTCCACTTTCTGGTCCGTCTCGGTCACCAGGTCAACTGCCGAGCTCTTATGCATGACGGCGATGTCCTTCTGGAGCGCCTCACGGATCATCTGGCAGAAAGTCAAACAATGATGAAACTCAACGAGGGGATTTGTTTTTGGGATGACAGACTACATCTGCTACTTTAATTGGAACTAATGTGATGTGTGTTACGGTCACATTTTTTGTGGAAGAGGAGGCGGTGATAATGAGGTGTTAAGGACCGGGTATTTTTGTGTTTTCTCTTTCGTGTACTCGTCCAGCGTTTCCCAACCTTTTCTCTTGGAGCCCCCATTACTTGTATCTAAGAAAAGCTGGGACCTCCAAGGACCCAATACAGAAAAAAAACATGATACATGACCGACAGAAATTCACATAAATCTTTAAAGTAGTCAACAAAAAATCCCAACGGAATAGGTCTACACACTTATTCTTACCAAAAGACCTTTGTATTAAAAACTATCCAAAGTGTGTTATCATGCTTTTAGTTCATATGTGCCAATCTAACCTCAGAGCGGACACAGTGTTGTACTAGACTCTCACTTTCAACAGAAATGATGTCCATACACACGTGTGGGGGATAATGATTTAAAACATGCATGGAATAGAATCAATAACAGTTTAATATATGGAACACAGCTTGCCTGTTAAGCGGATAGTGTAATAATTTAACTTTCATTCTCAGGTCCCTGAAAGAAGACCAGGATGGACCAAACGGAAAATACAGTGATGGGCTCGTATGAACCCTTCCCCCCACCAGAAGGCCATATTTGGTAAATTTTCCAGACCATGAAAACATCTTCCATCCTCTGTCTGAACTTCTTCAGCATGCATTTTTTCCATGCAGCACCTCTAGGTTAGACCAATGCACAGTCAATTATGATTTAATCGAGTCTGTCTATGTTACACTGGCATCACTCGTCCTGTCGACTACCAACAGGGCGTGTTGTTTGTGTTGCAACAGGACTCTTCAGACTGCTAAGCTGTGATTCAGGCACATATGCTCTCCAATTCTGTAATGGTAGTTGATTGTATCTGTTGTCACTTGATGCCTGCTGCAGATCTGATTTCCTTCGGGATAATAATTAAGATGACGTTGAACTCAAAGTCGTCTCCTGTCCTTTATAGTTGTTCTGCAAGATAATCCCCTTTACGTGTGTTTTCACTTTGCTTGGTGTGCAATTGTTAGTGACGTTACGTTTGACACCGAGGCTTTGAAGCGTGTGTCGCGTCGGAGGGGCGTTCCTAGCCGAGGCTCGTGTCATTTTCAGAGAAGCGCGTCATCGATGACAAACGAGGCCTCACTTCGAGTAGAACTACGTCATTGATTTGTTTGTGTTTTGGGGTTGTGGATAAAAGGAAGCGAATCCCACTTGTCATGTCTCCTCGAGAGTTTGCGTTAGTTGGTTGTTGAGAGTTGGAGTTTTGGTTCTATTTTTTTTCAAGAAACGGAGCCTGCGAGAAAGAGGAAAACGTCTCCTGTTTGGGAGCATTTTGAGTTATCATCTCCCAATAAGGTAAACGTTAAAAAAAAACATTTGTTCAGCAGTTCCAGGAACCGAACCTGAGCCTCTACGTCGACGTGGCGCTGCTATAACCATTACGCTACAAAGCTTTCATGTACTGCCGTGCTGAATCGCTTCAATTAGTTGTTACTATTTCTGTCACTTTGTGTTGGAGTTTCCCTGTTTTATCCCGGTGTTGCTTGTTTCCCTTGAGTGTTAATGTTTCCTCGTGTTCATGGTTTCCTAGTTGTGTCTTCAGTGTTTTCTGTTTTTATTTTGTCATTTTTTTTATCCTCGTATCTCTGTGTTTTGTTAGACTCTTTGAGTTCTGCATGTCTTTAGTGTTTCATGATTTATTTTTTTGTATCATCCTCAGTGTTTCTGGTTCTTGTGTTTTCTCCCTGCCTTGATTTGCCCTGATTGTCCTCACCTGTGTCGTTAGTCTCACCTGTGTCTGATTACCCCCGTGTCTATGTAGTCTCTGTGTTTCTTCCCTTCTTTGTCAGTTTGTTGGCTGTCAGTCTACCTGTGGCTCCTTGTTTTATCCTGTTTGGATTTTTGGAAGTAAGTTTTTGTTTAATTAAATGTTTTTGATAATTCTGCATTTGGGTCCTCCTCTGCAAATCACACTTTTGAAAGGGTTGGGGGGAAATAATCACTTTCATTGTTATTGCATGTTTTAGTCTAACAGGTGGGGGGTATCAGGACCACATCATGCATTACCTGTCCAGCCTCCTTGGTGACCTCCACACACAGGTCCATGCACTCCTGCCAGGGGTCGCTCATGTTGACAGGTAGATGTGGATGTTATTCACGGAAACAGGTTAAAGAGACCTGTTGGAGAAGAGAACGAAACGCTAAGGAGCCACATAGTTACGTGTTTATGTTTGCAGCCAAGAAACAACCGGGGGAAACCTGCAAGGACCAACTAGTAACGGAGCGTTAGCTAAATTAGCTTATATGCTAGTAAGAGCCATTTAACGAGCTCGACGTAAAATGACAATTACAGCTTCAAACACACATTAACAGTTGTGACAGACGGCTTTCTAATTCATCTAATTCCAAGATGCAAAAAGCTACAGTTACGTTTAAAACACTTTGCATTGCCGTAAGCTACTTACAGTACGCCCACCTGCAGCAGTCCAAACGGATTGACTTCTCTGTGCTCGCTGTAGCAGGACATACCGGAGTAGGCGGGACTAAAGAAAAACTCTCGCTCATTGGTTAAAACAAATCCGCTTAGAGTTGAAGACACGGCTCTCATTGGCTAGTAATCTGTTATTCCCCGAGGGAAAGAAACACGGAAGTAACTATTCATACAACTTTCTCTCCTTGTTTTAAAGGAGAGGCAGCAACAAACAAAGATTTATTCAATTTAAGTGAGGTTTTAATTCTTTGTACCCCACGGGGCTTTCATAAAAAATTATGTTCATGCATTGTAAGTGTGTATCTTAGTTGAACTGGTCTGCAATCAATTACATTCAAATGATATAATTATTTCAACACAAAAATAAGAAGAAAGTAAGACATTTAGGCTCGTGAAAGTGTGGTGTAATTACAAAAAAATATATAGAACACATGATTCTTTAGTGTCAGTATGTTGGGTTTTTTTTTTTCAACAGGAAGAAGTAGGAAAGGTTACTTTTACGAGCAGGTATTGGTGTCTAGTGTGAGGCTCTCTTTGGGTGAAGTCATGTTGATTTGCCCTGTAAAACATGAGGACGATCAGACCTTACCTGTCAGAGCACGCTACACAGCTTCTGGTACAGGCGCCTGTGATATCACACATCGACTGTTGCAACTCTCTACTGGCAGATCTTCCTACAGTCACTATCAATCCCCTGCAGATGATACAAAACGCAGCAGCACGACTGGTCTTCAACCTTCCTAAAAGAGCACATGTCACTCCGCTGTTCATCTCCTTACACCGGCTCCCAGTTACTGCTCGCATCAAATTTGAAACTCTGCTGCTCGCTTACCAAACAGCGACAAAAAGGTCTCCTCGTTACTTTAACTCTCTCATCAGGTGTACACTCCCTCCCGCCCACTACGCTCTGCCAATGAAAGGCGTCTGATCCAACCTTCACAACAGGGTCCTAAGACGCTGACTAGACTCTTCTCCTCTGTCGCCCCCTGGTGGTGGAATGAACTTCCAAACTCCATTTGATCTGCAGAGTCCCTCTGCACCTTTAAGAAAAAGCTAAAGACCCAGCTCTTTCATGAATACCTACTAACTTAATGATGATGGTCTCGATATTATTGATGATGATGATGATGGTAATGACGATGTTTTTTGTTTGATAATGATGACTTATAAGATGGTTTCTATACTGATTAGAGCTCTCAAGAACTGCCCTCAATGTTGTGCTTTGCCTCTGGTCACTTCCTGTCAGCACCTGTGTGTCCAATCAGACTCAAAGCTGATCGTTTGCTCTTACTGACAATGTTCCCTTTTTTTTCTAGATCCTTGCTTGTGTTGTTCTTGCGCTCTGATGTACGTTGCGTTGGATAAAAGCGTCTGCTAAGTGAATTGTAAAGTGGTGTACATCGGCCCTATGTGTTTTCAATAGCAGAATTTTCTCCCATTCGTCAGATAATGTGATTATTTCTGTGTTTGACTGGACATATGTCACTCTGGATCCATGCACAGCACACCCTGAGCTTGGCTTCTCTGGAAACTGCAACTAATCCACATGTTGAACCCCTCTGACAGTCCCTGACCCCGACCTGCTTCCTCATTTTAAATGGCGCTTGAATAAATATTGATACATCGCAACCCAACAATCAAGATCGAGACCATTAAGTTGAGCTTGTTACACTTGTGAACAGAACAACTTCTCAGCAAGCTTGTTCTTTTAATTCATTATTCACTCAGAGTTTAATGTTAATCTGCAAATACGAGAGGCAAAACTGCAGCTTGTTTCAGCTTACATGAATGAAAGTTTATACACGTCAATATATTAACAAATATCAACTCTCATTTTTGTTAGGAGTATGTGGGCGTGTGTGTCTAAAATATTGTCATAATGAAGGCCTAATGATAAAACTTTGTTTAATAAAGAAAGTTTCATATGACAAAGCTTTATACAAAACATTTCTAAACAAAGTTCTCGAGCATTTTAAAGAACAAATGGTAAAGAAACATGTAATTTACTGCTTTGGATTGATATTAAAAGTTAATCAAAATTTGCTACATGTGAGTTTAAATAAATAGGGATTGTTTGGTTTAAAAAGTTTTGGAACCTCGATATCATAACAAGTCCTCTTTAGGTCAGAAGGGGGCAGCAACAGTGTGGGACAAAATGCTCTTCTTTTCTGTTTGCTGTTTTTTAAATGGAGTGAAACATGTTTGCTGTGTTCAGACTTTAATTGCTGCAGGCGACTTCCGCTGTTATGTAATACTGATTTGACATTTAAAGACAGACGACATGTAAAAACCTGTTCTAAACAAGAAAAGCTTAATTTGCATATTATGGTATTGGCAATGGTTCATGTGTGGACATTGCATCACTTCATTAGTGTATTGGTACTTCTTAGTCCTTTTGAGTCAATGAAATTCAAATTATCTGCTGGTTAAAGCTTCAAAAATGTTTGGAATTGGTGTATTTCCTGCATTTGCCGTCCTTTTTTTTTTTTTTTTTTTTTTTTTTTAAATTTACATTTTAATTGATTAGACATGAATATTTTCAAATTAATCATGAGTCTCAAAATTAGTGATTGGACCGACCTGATCTCTGACGAAACCGATCCACTTCACAGATCAAGAAAGCTCATTGGCAGTGGTGGTTCTAGACCACTTCTACTGAGGGGGGCAAACTGGGGCCAGTTGTTTTGTCAGAGGGGAACATTAAACCCAGGTCAAAAATGGACAAAGATGATCGTTTTAAAAAATATATATTATGCCAAATAATAGTGCACATCATTAAATACCATGATTTATATTTGTTTCAGTAACTATTTAATACTAGAGTGAGTCCAGTTGTTTAGTCAAATACTGTGTAAGTGTTATGAGGGGGGGCTCTTCCTTTTGGAGGGGTGGCCACAGGTGGGACCAAGCTCCATGTTAGAGGGGCGTTGGCCCCTGCCTAGAACCGTTTGTATTTGTACAAGTCGGCACGAAGTTCAAATACATTTCTTTGAAAATATTTTAATTTTATGTATTTATATTTATTTTTTGTTCCTTGACTAAGAAACTCAATTTCGGGTTTACTACAGCTTTGTGTAGCCTTACCCATAATACTAACAACAACAATACCACTATTAATTATAATTAAAAAGTATTGAAATCAGAACTGAATAATAATAATAATATTGGTGACCAAAGAGTATAATTCATTTAAGGTTTTTAATTGTATTGCCAATATGATATGCTGAAATATTTCCTCAAATTTGATCCCAATTCATTCCAGAATTCTGTTTTATATCTCTAATAGTATCAACTATTCGCTCCATTAATAGAAAATCAAAAAACTGAAGTAGCCATGTTTTCTATCCTGATGTTAAAGAGAGTGAGGCCACAACAGGGCAAAGCGTGAAGGTGTCAGTTTGTGTGTGTATAGTGGAAGTGGAGTGACATCAGTTACAGAGAAAACATCCCTCTTCATTGCAAGATGTTTCTCCAAACGTACACATACTTCAGTTTTATCAGTAGAGCAGTGAAAGGTTTGTTCTGCTATTTTCAGCTCTGTCTTCAAGGTCGAAATCCGATTCTGGCTTCCTTTTTTTCTGAGGTGAAATTCAGCCACTTAACCCCTCGGAGCGATTTGTGTCAATACGTTTTTGCAGTCCTGCGAGGACGCTCTGTCCTCCTGTGCAGAGTGCTAACAACACAATTAGCTTTAAAAACACTAGGGCACTGGCTCATTCATATTCTGTCTGACAGATTTGACCTCAGATGGCCTTTGTGTCTCAAAGACATGGCAGAAATTCAGGACAATCATTTAAATGAGTCTGGCAACAGTTGTGCATTCATTAATTCTAAATCTTCTACCCAGATCAATGAATTATGTTTCATTATGTTGTAAGACAAGGCATTATGTTGACAATTACAACCCATCTGATTACACTTTGAAAGCAATTTTATTTCATACGTGCCGTAGTTTTGTGTTCTCTCTCTCCTGTGTGTGCGCTCCTCGGCCTCAGAGTGCCCAGCATCACCTGTGGCTAATTACTAATCAGGGGCAAACTATGAAGAGCAGGAGAGGAGGCTGCCAGTTGGCCGTTGGACTGCGTGTGTCTTTGACGTTGACAAATTTAGTGTGATCCTTCTGTGGAAGGATTGTGTTTGGATTAAGGCCTTATTGTTCAGATCTTGAGTGTTAGTTTTGAATTGGCTTCTCTTTTGTTTTGTGTTTTTTAGAAGAAGCTTGTTTTGTGTTGCACATTTTGATTTAGTTTGTTAATAAATCATTTTAAACTTTGCTTACATTAGTTCCTATTTCTTTTCCCTGGGTTTTAATTTATTGTTACTCCCCTCATCCCCTAGCCATCTTGGGGAACGTAACAATTTGGGGGCTCGTCCGGGATCCAAGAGACTTGGGAATTGTTGTAGGCTTAGTTTGTTTGTATACTGTACCTCTTGTGAATTTAATGGTAAGTTATTTGGGATGTATTGTGTCTAGCCTTTAGTGTGTAAAGCTTCCTCAGTTTAGTTAGGGGAGTGACCAGCTCGGCTGTTGCAGTCCTTCCTTCGGCCACTAATTTTATTTGTTTTGCCTTTCTTATTTTCGGGACAAATCCTGGGTGGGGAGTATGTTTCCTGGTGGGGGTAGGCATTTCAAGGCTTCGGCCATTGATGCAGCCTTTAAATTCAAATCGAGCGTGGCAGGTCCCAGAAGATAGTTAGGTAAGTTTGTGTTGGCTAGTTGTGTTTTAGAATCTACTGTTTGGCATCCGGCAACAAATTTACCTGGTTCACTATTGCGATGAGTGTTACCCAGTTTGTTAATTTTGTTAAGAAATTTAGCAGTGGCTTATAGGGATAAGACATTGGTAGCTGCCAGGGTTTTGTAATTTCCTACAGGGTAGCAACAATGTCTTAAGTTTTTTTTCTGCTTGTCCGTGCTCCTCTTTGGATTCTGAAATACATTTTGATGTAACAGAACATAGTTATCTTGCTCCTGTTTTTGAAGAGTCGGAAGTTGAGTCTTTCTTTGTTGTGTTTGAGCGCATTGCCACAGTTTTGCATTGGCGTAAGGATGTGTGGACAAACAAATTGTTACGTTCCCCAAGATGGCTAGGGGATGAGGGGAGGGGATTAAAACCCAGGGAAAAGAAATAGAAACTAATGTAAGCAAAGTTTAAAATGATTTATTAACAAACTAAATCAAAATGTGCAACACAAAACAAGCTGCTTCTAAAAAACAAAAAAGAAGCCAATTCAAAACAACACTCAAGATCTGAACAATAAGGCCTTAATCCAAACACAATCCTTCCACAGAAGGATCACACTAAATTTGTCAACGTCAAAGACACACGCAGTCCAACGAGCAACTGGCAGCCTCCTCGCCTGCTCTTCATAGTTTGCCCCTGATTAGTAATTAGCCACAGGTGATGCTGGGCACTCTGAGGCTGAGGAGCAACACTTGGGGAGCACACACAGGAGAGAGAGAACAAACACACAAAACTACAGCACGTAACACCTCCCCCCATAAGAACAAACTTAATGTTTGTTTTCCAAAGGTTGAAACATATCTCATCATTTCAAACACACATTATACACATGTAATATTTGAGTCAAGTTACTCCCCAAAGTGCCTTATGAAACACATCATCTAGTGGAAGCAACATAAAGAACACCACTGCCAACCTGTAACACACCACAATGTGACAGAAAACTAACGACAGTGGCGAAAGAGTGAAACAAACAGAATCTATGGACTTGTGGACTTGTGAGAAGGTGAAGAGATGTGATTCAACATGTATCCAACACTGCTAACCATCAAACCCACCACCTTGCTCACCAACATAAAGTACTGCCAAACCAGACACACATCCCTATAATATAAGACAAATACCAACTTCAAAAGGGAATGACCAACCTATTTACCAGTGAAGTGAGCTGGAAAAAAAGAAGAGCTCTTCCATGTTGATCGTGCACCTTTAAGACTATGAGAATCATCTCAGAATGCTGCTTTATTGAACAGAAAGTCTATTACAATGTTAAACAATCCTATATTTCCAATCACTTCTAGTCCCTTCATTTGTGAAAAACAAAAAAAAAAATCCATTATGGAGAGTGGTGGAAAACACATTTTTAATTTGCAGGTAACGACAAAGAATATCAGCGCACCAGTACATCTGCCAGGCTCTAAACATTTATTAAGTTATGGATATTTAATGTGATACTGTTGATAAGAATCTTGCAAGTTTGCATGAGAAATGTCATCCATACAATTGCAAAAAAACAATTTAAGATTATCTGATATATTCTGGGGCGGCAGTAGATCAGTCTGTAGGGACCACCGGTTCAAGTCCAGGTGCTGACCAAATCTGGAAAAAGGTCTGGTAGCTGGAGAGGTGCCAGATCACTTCCTAGGCATCACCTAAGTGACCCTGAGCAAGGCACCAAACGAACCCCCCCCCCCCCCCAACACCACCAGCCCATGTGGACAAATCAACATGTTTCATACTCTTTTCTGAGGATTCATATTTTTTCGGCCAGTCCCCTTACTCCATTACGATAGAAACATATTAGGCTACCGATATAGATGGAAAGAGACGACAAACAATCTCTTATGACCATACAGCACATTCTGAACTACTTCAAGAACAACATCTCCTGTCTTCAACTGAACACCGCAGGCGTGTAATTCTAATATACACCCCTTGTGAATTGAAACCGTAGCAATACGAGTCCAATAACACCACAAACAGCAACATATGTTGAGTCCTCAGGCTTGTCGTGGCGCCACCTAAACAGAGAACAGCACACACTCTGTTTGGAGATTCCTAACACCATAATGGGAGTCATGTGGATCTACTATTTGCGAGAGGAAGCTGGGGAAAAAAAACATCTCCTCTGTCCTTTACGACATGTCTTTGAGCTGGTGAGAAGCTGTGATTGTCCACATATGAAGACGAGCCTCTCGGGCATGACAACCAGGAGGTTATATGTAAGGCAGTGTACAACTGCGGGACTCTGAGAACAGCATTTAACATCACCTCTTTAGAGCGACTTGTTGTCAGCAAAGCCTTCTGCGTAGAAAATGGTGAGCATATACTTCTACATGTTCAGTTACAAAACTGGGCATGTGTACCCGTTTAATCTCCTGATATTTAATGATGTGCCAACCACTGTAATTTATCAAGTATGTGTATCTTTTGTGTGTCTCCTTGAAATGCTGGGATCTGATTGTTTTCGCTAAAGGTCATGTTTGAATGCAACTGCAGGGTGTTTGAAAAGCTGCCAGGTTTGACAGGCTCCAAGCGATTTTAAAAAAAGACGTGGGAGGAAGTTTTGTACTTGCCATGAGAAAATTACATTTAAGTCAACACGCATCTTTTGAGTTCCCAGGAAAGCACTTTTTTTTTTCTACACTGAAATCCAAATTTATTCAAATCTTATCTTTGCTATTGCAGATTAAGGCATGTACAGACAAGCAGGTTTTCTGAAACGATGGGTCTCACGATCATGAACGCACATCAAACATCTGCATCCTTTGTGATGATCAGGGTGACTGTATGTAAGTGATTCCTCCTGACTTTGTCCACTTTTTTTTTTTTTATATTACTTTCTTTGATATGTCACGCCCACATGTGAAATACAATGTCTTCTTTTTTGTGTTGATTTTGAAAGGGTTTTTTATTCTCCTTTTCTGCCCTGGTCCTCTGAGCGCTCAGCTCGGCACTACCCCCAACATCAAACACATCGTGGTTGGACGGTGTTACAATTACATCACACTGGTTAACCCCAGCTCCAGGTAAAGCTTGACCTTTACTCCTTTGACTTTTAAACCAGCTGTCACTAAACCTGAGAGACTTGATTTCCACCAAAAAGCCCTTGGTAGTTCTAGGATTTGGGTTCCAGATGTTTGAAACAAACAATGCTTATGATATCAGCAGTGTTGAAGCCTACAAGAAGAAAAGTCAAACTTGTGTTGATGTTGAATGCATTTTTATTTTCCTTTCCTTTCCCTTTTTCTTTTCCTTCTACAACCTCGTACAAAATGCAGCCGTCCAGGCCCGGTTGTAGACTGCTTTGAATGGGGGGGCAGTAAGAGATGACTAAAGTTAATGAGTGTCATATACGACCATAAACTACAACTCAGATTGTTTCATGTTTTTATCTAAAGTAATCAATGCAGACCTTTTATACTTGCGCCTGTAGTTTATTTCATTTTAAACCAATCTCCCAGACCGACTGAGTCTATCGCTCAACAAGCTACGCTAACACGGCTACAAGTGGGATGTGTACAGTTAAGTGACTGTCAAATGATCAGAAAACTGACAACCTCTCTCGATGATCTCCATATCTTATGTGGCCAAACCAACCAATAAGGTATTAGTAAAACATTTTATAAGTGGCATTTTCTGACCAGGAAAAAAAACAAACCTTTTTATTTCTGAAACTTGTGGTAAAAGGAGGATATTTGGCTTTAGTGGGGCAGGCTGAGCATTTTGGGGGGGCACTGTCCATGCCGAGAACCGGCCTCGCAGCCGCCAGAGTTTTAACACGATCAATGCCTTGATCTAGGGGGACGAGGTGTTATGAAGATCAGGCTTTGTCTATTGCTGGACCAAAGTTTGTGGAACTCCCTACTTCCCAAAGTTTGTCTCTCACCTACAATTGATATTTTTTAGACTCACCTTAAAACATATTTAAATTCAAGGGATCCATAGCTCCATAAGTTTTGTGTTACCCTCTACATAATTGTTGCCTGATCGTTGTTGTTGTTGTTCTTGTCTGTTACTTATGCTTTGTTTTTCCTCTTTCTTCACTGTTCATCACTTTGGATCAACTGTGTTGTGTGGGTTAGGTCTATATAAATAAAGCTGAATTGAGTTTTCTGAAAAGAAAGTTGGCCGGTAAGCAAAGAAATAGTGTGGAACGAGGGTGTGTTCTGATGCGCTTCGTTCTGAAAAGAGATTTTGATCTCATGGGAGAGTTTAGCTAGTATAACAGGAGTTGTGTCTGAGTTGAGTTCAAAGGTGTTTGCTTGGTTTTCTCTTGAAACACACTTCCTGGTTATTTAGTTACAGATAAGTTCATCACTTTTGTTTGTTTACAAAGGCTGTGAGCCTTTCACTGATCATGTTAAAGTACTGCAAATATCAAACAAACTATGTTCCTGGTTGAGTTTACAATTTAAAAATGCATTCAGCAAAGACATAATGACAACAAGTTCCAGAGGTCATAAGCTAACATTTTACACCAATATTGATACATACATCGAAACATTTTGGCTGTTCTCTAGCCCTCCAGTTTAACCATCCGATCTACAGATTTCTTTGAAAATAGTGAAAATTGTCCAATCCAGTTCTCTGGAGCCCAAAGTGATGTCTTTGACTGTCATGTCTTGTCTAATCAAAAGTTTAAAACCCAAATATTTTCCATTAAATAGAAAATGAACCAGAAAATAATATTTCTATTTTTTTTATATATATATATAGGGGTGCAGAAATGCAAATTTTTCTCTAATCGATTACTCTTCCCATTGTTAAAGCGAGTAATCATTTTGTAGTTCTTTTTTCTGTGATTCTTTTCCCCCACGAGAGGCCCCGCCACCAACTGTGACTCGATGCCGGCTGTATCTACTGATTAATTTGAATCTTCGGGATTTTAATAATTGTTAGTAATAGGCCTTTGTATTAAGATTCAAATATGACATTTCTTACTTCAACAGACAGCAAACCTCAAATAAAAATTCACACAGACGTATCTTCTGACCATTTTAACACTTCTAACTTTAACTTGTACTTAGAGCAGTGTGGCGAGCGGACGTGCAGACATCAGTGCGCACTCATCGCACGCTGAAGCTGTTTTGACAGCAACATTCTGTTAACAAAGACTCCAGTCTGCAGTGTAGAGCGCACTTTACTCTGGTTAATGAAGTTACAATAGAACAGGTGAACTGTTTCATCTTTCTCCTCTGTGCGTAATGACACACTCGCTCAATCTCGCTCCATTGTCCGCTATGAGCTCTGTCTCCCTATAAAGTTGATCCTTTTTGTAATTATTAAAAGATTTAAAAATAATAGATTTATAATCATAGATTTTAAAAATAGGAAAACATCTAGTTATGCTGCTCTGTCATGGATGATCAAACGTCATTGGTTTAGCGGAGTAAAGCGGTAATCGCAAAGTCAAAGTCCTTCTTTGTCTGTGGACTAAAAAGACAATTTGAACTGAACTTTCGTAGATCATATTGCATATTTTGTTTGTTTGGGACTTTTTGTTCATTGTGAATTCATAAGGGGAGTAATTAAAGGGATATTTTTGTTAGGGTAGCAGCTTACGGATCAACAATGGACGCGTTTCAGCACAGAGCCTTTATCAGCTCTTTGTTTGTCATCTATTTTCTTTTTGCGCTCGTGCTCCTTTTTTTTCTGTTTTTAATTAGGCCTATCCTAGAACACACAATGCAAGAATAATAAAATAAAGTAACATTTTCAAAAATGTGGACTACAAAACGATTATCGATTACATTTTTCTTGTAACCGATTATTTAATTTAGTTTGCACCCCTAGAAAATATACACATTTCCAAACCTTCTAACTGATTTGTTGCAGGTTGATTTCCCATCTGTTGACTTGCTGCTGCTACCCGCTTCCTAATCATTTGGATTATATGTAATTTGTCATACATCATTTATTTGTAGGCATGACTGCGAGGACATCTGGAGACATTTTGAGGAGGCAGTTGTCCGTCAGTCCTCTTGCAATGTGAGGGTGGAGGATTATCATCCCATGTTTTTCGCCATGCCACAAACCTTGCCTTGTGATAGGGTGAGCAAATAGTACATAAAGTGTAATACAGTGTTCACTAATACCAAATGAATAATGTGAATACTGATGTGTTTTATGCTTCCTGTATTCCTCGGTTTAGTTCTTGTTCTGGAGTAAAACCCGGGTGCTGATGCACAGCTATGCAGCTGTGGTTGGCCAGTTTTGGACTCTCGAGGACACGCTGGTCGGCTACATGTTCAACGACCTCATCTGGTGTGGACAAGAGGAGGACTCGGGTAGATCTGTTCTGGTTTTATAAAGGCAGAAACTATTTAAACATAGTGCTTGTACCAGTTTATACCAAAATGCCTACAAGAAACTGGGAAACTAGAAAATACTGTAATACATGGGCGTTTCTCAAACCTGTGTTATTAAACATAAGGTAGTTAGTCAATTCATTAAGATGTTATGACAATGAGAACTTTAGAATCAGCCAACGTTTATCTTTAGTCCCTTTAAGCTCAAATGGCATTTTAGTGTCTTTTAGCTCATTGTTTTGGTTTCACAGTCCATTTTTAAAGCAGCAGCAGAAATCTGTTTTCTGTGAAGAGCTACACTTCATGCTCAGCTCTAAGTGTGACTAATCCATACATAAGTATCGACTAGCTAGGAGACATGGTGGAGCATTAAGCAGCCGAGGACCCAGCTATTTCCAAAAGGAGTTGGTGGAGACCAAACTAGAGCAAAAATAAAGTGAATGCTGGAGATATATTGCCAGATGGAGAAAAACGAGCCTTCATATTTTGCTTGTTGTATGATTAAGTAAGAACCAGTTGTCCTGAAACTTTCTTTGATAACTTTAACCACAAAAAATCCAACTCAATGACATGAAGCTTTCAGGCATATGTTTTTTTCAATGAGGAACCATTGCAGCTTTGGGATTTCAATGAAACCACATCGCTCATTGAGCTGCAGCTGTGCTTCCGTATGTTCAGCTTGCCTTTAAGATTTTTTTAATACAGATGTGGCGCTGAGTTATTAATCTGCCAGCTGCATGTCATCACATGAACGTAACTTGTTTATCATATCGTTCATTCATGTCTTTTTCAAACATCACACATGCTGGCTCCTTAAACTGATATTTGTGAATTTTCAGATTTTGATTTCAGCTCTTGTCCCGAGTGGTCGGCGTGCAGAAATCATCCGGTGTATTCCTTGTGGAGACAAGCGTCACAAAACGTGAGCTCAATGTCAGAGATGTCTCCGCACAGCTCTGCAGTGCGCACAGCTGCGTCGTTTATCATTTACATGCAACATACTGTTCCAAAACCAGCAGTGGAATAATAGTCTCATGAGATTTCCTTCACCTGCTTGTTAGTTTGCAGAAATGGCGTGTGGCAACATCACTGTGTTACTGAATGGATCAATTGTTAATGCCTTCAATAAGAAAAGGTAAAATACATATATGAATGAAGGGCATTTTCAGCAGTCCATTCTGTTGAATAATCACTTTTATTTTATCCTGCAGCATGTTTGGAAGTGTTGAACTGGACAGTCTGAACCCTCACAGAGTGGATTATGTCAACATAAAGGTGGTGACCAATCTAGAGGGACCCATTATGTAAGGATAAAAAAATATTTGTGTAAATGTAACTTTTCAACCAATTTCCATAAATAAGTCTGATTAGATCATTGCCTTTGTGTGTTTGATGGTTTCGTTAGTTACAGCTCGTAAAAACGTAGTAAACGGCGACTCATCTTAGCGGGGTAAACAAATCAAAAAGTTTTTTGTTTCTTTCACAGAGAATCATGTGGCAAAGGATCAATTGTAGACCTGATCCAGATACTTCAGTCAAGAGGTTTCAGGTGGACCTGCACAGATGACGACCAGTAAGTGACATCCAATGAGACCTACACATTTTTTTTTTTTTTTTTTTTTTTTAAATTACCCTTGGAATAAATTTGGATAAAAACATATGATGTCATGACAAAGCTATGGGTCAATTTGTTTAGCCTCAGGCATACTAAAAAACAAAGTATAAAAAAAATTATCCAGCTAAAATCACCAATTATTAATAAGCTGTGAACATAAACTTGCTGAAATAAATGATTCATCAGACATCATTCTAAGACATGCAAGGATCACACTCCTGATATATTTTATTGTAAAGTCTGACAGATCTCAGTTGCAGATATTGACACAGATGTTGCTTATGGCTCAGTAATGAACCTCCGGAAGAAAGTACTCCAGAGTAACATTTATAAAAATGTATCCACAGAACCCTGATGATCCTTCAGTGCATCCAGAACCCCGAACAGCCCTCGTGCCAAACATGTGCAAACAGCCTCAGACAGAAGAAAAGCCTCACGTTGGAGTGAATCACACAAATATTTTGCATGTATTCACTTTGTAATTTTTCTGTCTACTGCACAGAAAAGGTGTGTTGAATAAACTGTCTGCTTGGAGACTTTATACCCACACTTTCATCAATCTCAATTCATTAGTAAATTACATCCGAAAGCCTCTTGGAGCCTTTTGGAGAGTAAAATAAATCTGTTACTGATTCACAAAACTCTGGCTTTGCTATCAACTGCATTTTGCAAATCTAATTCATTATTCTGTTACGTTAAGGACCTCAATGTGAGCTAGCGTTACCTTATTTAAAAAAAAATAAAATCTAGTTATATGAACATCCTTTTTATCTTTTAAATTTGATGCATGTTCCAGAATCTGTATTTTTTTACGAAAAAACTAAGGGGGGGATCACTTAGTGTCCGTGAGCCCAGTACCCCCTGAGAGTTTTATCCGGCCCTGTAGGGCTTCTATCTGCTTCTGTCTGAGGGCTAAAGGTCACCGGGAAAAACACTGCAGAGCCTGAACTTCTGCAAGTCTTTTGTTATGTGGATGAGTTGAAGGTTGCAATCACCTTAATCAATTTTAATGGAATAAGTGCAACACCAAAACGGATATGTTGATTTTTCGTACCTATTTGACAACAGGTACATTTTTTCTATTATACAGAAATCACAACCCGCTTATCATTGAACATGTCATTTATTGCATGATAATAAGAGCACAAGATATCCTTGGAAAGATATACATGTACCATTACATCATTAGGTTGTTAAGATTCTGTAAAACACACACAAGGAACCTGGGCCTTAAGGTCCATATTTCGGTTTTAATCCACGTTTTGGCACTCAAAGGTCTGCTGAAGTTCACAATTGATGACTTTTCAATGAACTTTGTTTTATGGCTCAGACAATCTTTCAGCTGCTGATGACTGTTGCATGAACTTCTTCAAAACCACTGAGTGTGAACAACGCTTGCAAATGCACAAACATGTTTGTGCGTGCACCACAAGTACATTTGAGTGCTTTAGACTAGAAATAAAGAATAGTCATTAATACCTTTTAAGATTTGTTGTTATTATTCTCTTTCTTTTAACATTTGTATTTTTTGTTACTTTGCACTTCAACTTCCGCACATTTTGGACCCAAATATTAAAATGTTGTCCTACATTTATTACTAAGTCTATTTGATACCTTTAGGTAGGCTATTTGCAGCCTCCAAATGGAACTCTTATCGTCGGTGATATAACTCTAGTTGAACCCCCTCTCCTGTGTGCGCAACAGCCCTCTATTTTGGAGTGTGTGTGAGAGTTTGTGTGTTGGTGAGTGTATCCTGAGGGCTGATTTTGTCCTCTTGCAATTGTTACTTTCCTTTTGAGATGGCTTATGGGTGATGGGAGTAACAATAATATAAAACCCAGGGAAAAGTAGGAGGAACCAAGTATATGCACATTTAAAAAGATTTATTCACAAAATGAGGGAAAGAGTTACTGAAAAAGAGCTTCTTTTAGAACACAAAAGAGGAGCTCCAACACTAACAAGAAAATTGCTCACTGAGCCTCAATACTCCAGACTCCAGAACACACACACAGTAGAATGGCCCTCTTAGACGAGACAAGAGGACAAAGGTTTCAATCTACATACAGTAGATTAAGTTCATTGTTTTTTCTCCTTAACACGAACCCATTTGAAGCAACAATTATGTTACATATTCAATTAATAACACAAAATTTAGTTCTGAAAAAAGGACGGTGTTGCTTAAAGATAAAATCGTTCTTGAGTTTAAGAAAACTAGTAGCCCCACCTTTATCAGCTTTATTATTAAGTAGAATTTACAAAATGAACGCAACAGTAGTTAGTCTACCATATAATTCAACCTGAACACCCCCCCCCCCCCCCCCCCCCCGCTCCATATCCCTCTTCCTGCATTTTATCCCATCTCTCCCCCCATCCCCTTCCGAGCCCGGCACAGTCTAGGCCTGTGAAGGCTGTTTCGTCATGAGCCGGGGATCCAGCTTAAGATTTCTGCCTTTTAATAAGACAGTTTTTTCTTACCACTGTAACTTTTGCTGCTTTGCTAAAGTGCTCATGATGGATAGGCTGGGTCTTTGTAACATAACAATAAGTAAGGTCTTTTTACCTGCTCTTTGTAACATAACAATGAGTAAGGTCTTTTGACCTGCTCTTTTGTAATGTTAACAGACAAAGAGTAAGGTATTTTACCTGTTTTTTGTAAAGTGTCTTGAGATAACACTTGTTATGAGTTGACGCTATACAAATAAAAATTGATTGATTGATTGAACCTTAAGCATTCTCAAATAAGCCTTGCTTGAATATTGAATAGGATACCTTATTTTTTCATAAATATTGTATTGCTTATTATTTGTTCTTCTTGAGAATAAGATTGGGGTACTTCTTCCATAACTTAGGGTAAATTGTATTTATCAGTCTCCATCACTGCTTCATGGTATTATTGCGGTCCTCGGACCTCAGTTTTGGCAGCTCCACCCATAAATAGCCTCGGGCTAGTGCACGTGGGCGTGCGCGCGCGCAGGGGGTTGCACGTTCACCTCTCCATAAATAGACGCACGAGAGCGCGTCTGTGTGACAACAAACACTAGTTTGACAGCCAAACCTCCGCGTCAGTTTTACTTTTGAAAAGTGCTTCTCAAATGGAGACTATGGAGAGTCGTCCCCCGCCGAAGAGACGGACCAAACGGTGCCTTGTTTTAACAGTCGCCGCTGTCCTGCTTCTCATCGTTGTCCTCGGTGTTGCGTTGGGAGTCGCGCTCAAGCGGAATTCAGAGCCATTTAAGAAAACATTTATCGACAGATGTGAGAAGTTTGACGGGTAAGTTTCCTTTTAAACAGTTTATTTATGCTGCATGTATAGAATGAGTACGGGGGCTTTCTCACAACTACTGTAGGACTAAAAATAACAGAATTAAAAAGATAATGATGTCTAATACATCAGTCTTTCAACAAGTAGCCTAACCTTCATACACTTTGTATCGTCTCGTTTGTTTGAAACGGTTTTAGTAAGATATTAATTGATCTAAATTAACACATGCACATCGTTGAATGAAATATGCACAATCTTTAGGTGAAAGTAATAATGTCTCATGATATCTGTAAGGACACACTCTCTGGCTTCTCACTGGGGTTGGTGAATGAATCGCCTAAGTGCAGAGTCAGGTGTGTTTGGGGCTGATTGGCCTTGATTAAAGCCAGGTCCATCTGAATGTGACTGATCCACATTCCTGAGACTCAGCAGAGCTGTCAATGATTTTTCAGATACACTGTGGAAAGATATGGACTGCGTTTGAACAAGCCTACGTGAGGAAGGACCCCTGCAAAGTTCCCATGGAGGCCTATGACCCTTTAATGGCTGCAGCCCCCTTCAAACCTGCATGCAACAGAGTAATCATCACTTATCAAGACTTGCTTCTGTGCGCATTACTCTCTTATTAGTTATTTTACAATGCACAAGAGAACATCTAATGTATTGACCCGTTTTGTTTTCTTTTGGTTTAGATGATGTTCTGGAGCAAGACTAAGGAAGTGGTCCATGACTTCACCGCGAAAAAGGATTGTTTTTTGACCTTGGAGGATACTCTGCTGGGATCTGTGCTGGATGGTCTGACCTGGTGTGGAAAAGAGGGCAGCAGTGGTAAGAGAACTTTATGGTGTAAAGTTAGGTTCAGACCAGTTCCTTTTTTTTTTGCATTACACACAGCAGAGTACATGCAGTCATCTAACTAAAAAAGTGAAGTTGTACCATCTTTGGCATCAACCTCAAAGTATAATGCCTCTGCAAATTCAGAGGGATTAAAAACTGCTGATGTCATATGCCAGAGGTGTAATTATCTGACACCTACAACTACTATGATATTTTAATATTGAAGCATATCAAGTCCCGTCAAGCCCGTAAAGTGTTTGTTTGGCTTGCAGCGGTTCCTGGCTCAAGATCTTGAAGAAGTAAAAAAATGAAAGGTCACATATGAACTAAGGTGTAATATACTGTTATCATGCTGCTGCTTCATCTCAGTTAATTCTTGATTTCCAAGGTGTGTTTTCTCCAGGCTCAGACCAAATAGCCTCGGGATGTGGTAGGCTGCCAACCTAGATAGCTGGTTAGAGCATTCAATTCAGATATAATAATATTAACTGTACTTGTATAGCACTTTTAAAAACACGAGTTTACATACAGGAGCATAACAAAGTTTAAGAACCACAAAACACCACAACAGCAGAGCAACCCACAGATGAGACACCCAACCACCAACAAAAAAAAATAAAATAAACATAACCCCCGAAAAAACTACATTCAAAAGGCAAATACTTTTGATTTGGATGTGAGTGTGTGATTTTTCGTTCCAGACACATTCACTGCTGGCTGCCCTGGATGGACGGACTGTGACAACAACACCGTTCGCTCATTTTGGAACCGCGTCTCAGCTGCTGTAAGTTATAAACAAGAATGAACTCGTCTAAACTACAACAGCCCTGGGATCAAGCAGCGGTTAGAATAACACATTTGGATTTTAAAGGTGAAGCAAACTTCCCCTGTGCATAAGTTATTTGGATGGAGCGGAGAAAAGAAAGCTCCCTCGGCCGTGTTCTCCATCAATGAGGCTTTGTGCCGGTCTCCATGGAACCACATTGCGTAGCTCTCTCCTGAGCGAGCAGGGGCAACCCACACAAAGAAGCTCTGCTCGGTTTTGGCTCTAAAAAAAATACCAGCAGATATCATCCTCTTCTAGATTTTCAAAGTAAAACATACCAGAATGATCATGTTTGAAAAAGTGCCATGCATAAAATTGAAGAGCAGCACAACATTATAACACTCGTGATATTTTCTCACACAGTCACTCAAACTGCTGGTAAGAAAGAGCAGCTACACATTAGTAGTTTTAAGAGGCAAATTGTAACTTCTGATCAACTCATTTAAATGCAGCAAAGCACAAATCTTTCCACTCTGTAACCTGTAAATAATCCTATAGAAACTACAAATGTACTGAAAAGAAAATGTATAAAATGATGATGACAATGCAGAAGGGATGGTTCTGACCTTACAGATAGTTCTCTTTTTGCTAATCCTCTCAGCTTTATGGAGCTATTTCACGAGGTTTAGTTTATAATCACTGCAGTTTCAGAGTCCACACTTACTGCTCTGATAGTGTTGTTTTAAGTCAAACAGAAGATACTGTAGTCAGAAGACTAGTTGCCCAAGCTAACAGCTGGCTCGCAAATTGGAGCTTTGTCAATTTAAAAGTCAGATATTCCCCTCTAAACGAGAGTGAACGTGAACTCAATAAAAAAAAGAAAATGGAGAGAAACACAAACCAGGGCCGTTGAAGATTTAATCACATTGCCATTAAGGTCGGAAATTAAAAGCAGGGTTGTAGCCAAACGGGAAGTAAAGTTACTTAATACAGTTTCAAAAAGAATTTCAAATTAAAAGCATGTCCAAAACTGTTCTGATTGCAAAATAATGGAATTTGATTAATAATGATCAACTATTGAATTTCAGGGAATAATCACGAGATAGACAAAGTGAAGTTCTGTAGGTTTCTTGGCTCCTGACTTGCTGCGTACGTGTGTGTTCGTAGGGAAATGTGTAACAGTTTTTAATGTTGGTGTTGTTGTTCTTCAACTATTTAACACACCAGTGAAGGGACTATTGAGTTGTGAGTTGTCGATGAAATGCGAGGAATGTGTTGCTGTTCACCTACTTATTGTGCGTCAAACAACCTGGTTCTTTGTCAAACTTTAGCAGAGCTGAAATGAGTGTGAAGTCAGCTTTTCAAAAGAAATACATCTGGTGGTGCTGTGGAAGTTTGAGTAGTCGCAGAGAGTTTAACTACTAGAAAGCATGACGGATTAGAAGGAAAACTTTTCTTTTTAAAGAATTATTTTTGGGCATTTTCTGCCTTTATTGGAGAGATAGGAAAGTGGATAGAGTGGGAAATGACACGCAGGAGAGGAGACACAGGTCAGATTCTCAGCTGGACCGCCCACTTGGAGGACTATAACCTCTGTACATGGGGCATGCACGCTAACCACTGCGCCACCAGTGCCCCTTAGAAGGAAAAAACTTAAACTGAATTCCTTTATCTGTGATGTACAAAGTGTGAGCCGTAATGTATCACAGTGAAGAAAGTCCTGCTGATAACTTTCAGACAAAGATGCAGTGTGTCAGTAATTATGTTGACCAAACAAGGGATTCTGGATGCATCTGTCGCTTCATTTTAACATCAAAATAGATCGAGATGAATACATGATATCAATTCTAACAAATGTAAAGAGAGAAAAAAGATAATTTAAAGGAGTGTAACCCCTCTTTCTCCTGTATGAAAAAGATGATTTCACCTATCGGAGTTTGAAAAGATCAAATGAGTTCAGATCATTATGGTTACACATGCGTTACTGCATGAATCTTAATGTAACATTTGCTGAATCTGACAGTTTGGTTTGTGTTTTATAGGCTGAGTTGGGTCTGTATTTGAATATTAATTATCCTCCTTGTGCTGTAGTTTGCAGATGCTGCGTGTGGTGATGCCACAGTGATGCTAAACGGATCACTCGCCACACCGTTCAGTCCCTACAGGTAAGATGCTCTGCACTTCTGGGCCCGCACACTTCCTCAAATGCCACAACAAGTTCATCACAATCACATAGTTTGCACCAGAGGTCTTCTTCAGGTTCGGGGGGCACATCCTTGTATGTAGATTTCAACACCAATAGGCTGATAGGCACTGTGATGTCAGGTGTTGTCAAACATTCAAAATGTCCCACGGCTAAACACATCTGTAATGATCATCTTTCAAATATAACTGAAGGAAAAATAAAAGGTAAAAATACAAAATATAAATATATGTTGTCATACACTTATTTAACCATACTAATACAAAATGTATAACTACCTCCTTTTTCTTATGAATTATTATGATAACAAGCAGCAAAAGCCTCCCACACAAAAGGCTCCTATTTACCTTTTAATTAAAAAAAAAGATTGATTCTTGATTCTCCATTAGTTTATCTTTCATTCTGAATGCTGATTGTCAGGTAGTGAAAAAACAGAGTGTTTGTTAATTCCTTTGTGTATCCATAACAGAAGTATCCTACATTCTAGTGGGTGTCACTATATTTATGTAACATTACCTTATATAACTTGCTAATGTAACATAATAAAGAAAAAGGATCACCAGGATTTCTTTTTTTCTTATCGGTCTTCTTTATCTGATAATGTGGGCCGACTCCTCGTATGAAAGGTTCAGTCTCAGGTCACAGACGGCTGCTCGCTGTCTCGGGGGCGTTTCAGGAACTTTTTCATTGGTTATCAGAATGTGTTGAGATTATTTTTCATGTCATGTTCAGTTCATCTATGTATTCTTGGAATATTATGTGAGGATCTATGAGGAAGTCTATCAGGACGTTGTACTGACCTCTAGCATTATTAGTAATGAAGTTTAATTTTAACAATTAAAAAGCTACAAATTATTAATAATTTTCTTTGCTTATAATCATATTATTCAAAAGAGGTGATTGTTGATATACTTTTTGTAAAACTCAATGTTCAACACTTAAATTGTTGCTGAGAAACAAAACACACAGAAGCAGGATGATGCTAGTTTGACACTTGACTGTTGCATAGCAACCCAAACTTTGTCTTCACGAGTTGCTGTGGTTGCCGGGTTACATACAAGCTATCCCTGATTGATTGTTTGATTCAGACCTTATTAGGATTTTTTTTTGTAAACAAAGGAATGCATTCAGACACAGATCAGAAGAACATTTATTAATTAAACCTTTCATTAGAATAATGTTGTGTCACATCTTATATTGTGTATATATTTTTTTCTTCCACACTGCTGATCATTGTGTTTGTTAAATGCCTTTACCTTCGGCCTGTGATACAAAATATGACCTTTTCTCGTTTCCAGTATTTTTGGGAGCATTGAGGTCAAGAATTTCAACTCCCAAAGGATGAAAAGTCTGAATGTTGTTCTCATCACACAGGAGAAAAATGTGTAAGATTTCATTTCATTGTTTTTCCTTTATATGTTCATGTAAAGTTTCTTATGTTATTCCACAGTTCAGTATTTGAAATGAGCAGAAAAACAAACTTGTTGCTGAAAGTGTTCCTGTAGAAAATGTTGTTTTGTGTCTTCTTCAGGTCAAATTGTTCAAATGCATCGTTTAAGGATTTACAGAAGGAGCTGGATGGAGGCATTAAATATAACTGCAAAGAGGTGTCAGAGTGAGTACAGCATGTTAGTTGATCAGAGTGTACTTCTATGTCCTTACATTGTTTTATCTGTATGGTGATGTAACCATGTATTCATCAGTGTAATCTGTGTGTTACTGTTTGCAGAGCTCAGCTCCAGTGGTGCAGCTCGAGCCCAGAGACCCCCTGTGGATCCTGTTGGTGAAAACGTGTGAACAGACTATCAGACGATTCTGTCGGACAAGGAAAGACGAAACAATCACCAGCACTAGTAGAACATTTGTATAAAGTCTTAGTTTCTTTGTGATATCTTTGTAATTTAAATAATGTGTTTTTTGGACCTGTGGGCCAGTTTGACTTGATGTGAAATCTGTCTTTGCACGATTGGTAGCAATTTATTTTCCCAAGATGACAAGGTTTTTGTACATTTCAGCAAAAAATTTCTGTACATCTTTAATGAAATTTCTATGCCTTTAAGAAAAGTAAAGTTGGGGAAAACTGTATAGTATTGCTGTCACTATTTTGTTGTTGTTGTCTGTGCGGGTGCTCCGTCATCCAGGTCATGGTCAGTTCAAAACCTGAGCCAAACACAACTGGACTACGTTGAAGATCTTGAAGATGTTTCACCTCTCCTCCTCTGAGACACCATCTTTCACCAACCTACAATGCTGTTTTGAATTCTCTCACAAACCAACTGAATCCCCCGTCCCACCTTGGAACACGTGACCCCAACGACCCACAAACAGCTGGGAGGATTTACGACTCTAGGAGAAACCAGGTCAGCGACTCGGGTAACGACTCTCATGTAATGATCCACAGAGGGTTACATTTCTAACTCCTTACAAACAAAGATGTTGTCGGTTGGCTGGTCTGGAAGGTTGGACTGACTGCAGGCAGAGGGAGACTCAGGATGGGGGATCCTTCTTAAGCGTAATTCTGCCCCAAGCTGAGATGGATGAGGAAGGAGGTTGAATGGATGAGAGGAAGGGAAGGGAGGGTGGGTTGTCGAAGAACTGAGACAAACGATGTGGAGTGGGATGGCTCAGTACAAGTAGGCTTGTCAGGTGATTGGAGGTGTGGCTTGGGCGTAGTCCTGCTCCCGAACCTAAGTTAATATACATTAACTCCATTTAAGTTTAGAACTGAAGAAGACTTTCAGAGGAGAGGTGAAACATCTTCAAGATCTTCAACCAAGTCCAGTTACCTTTGGATGAAGCTTTGAATTTTGTTTAGTGTCTTTGAGTATTCAGAAACCTCCTAAGGCTCATGAATTATTATTATTTTAAAACTCTGATTTACTGTAGGGTTCAAAAGCAACGCTGCTATCTAATCACGTTCAACTGACAATCTCACTCCTACCTGAGGGCAGAATTTCATATTTTTTTTTTACAATAAAATGTTTCAAACAAAGGATGTGGAACTTTCTCTTGGGTTCATTTTTTGATTTTCTGCATGTGATCATTTTTGTGTTGATACATTAGAAACAAAATATATAATCTGAGTATCTACAAACGTCCTCAACACATCCTACACCCTTTTTGAACATGGACTTCTTAAAAAATTCAAGACATTAGAGAAAGTATGCTGTTTGTCAGTTTATTTTTATTATTCATTTAGATATTTTCATGTAAACTTTGTCCTAAAATGTCAACGTTTAGAAAAGACGCTGGCGCTCAGGATGAATGTCCTCTAAGGGCTTCCGTACACTGGAAAACCCTGACCTATATTTTATTGACTATCTGACTTCAAGATGCACGTTCATTAATGTGTAGTTTAAATTCCATGAGTTATCAATAGTTTTCAGAAAAGTGAACAAAAATATTGTATCCAATCAAGCTTTCATTATCTTCTTTGTGCAGATTTCTTGGGGATTCTGCTCTCTGACTGTTTTCCCTTCCCCCCCTACAGAATACATGTCTGCTAAATCTTTCCAGTACAGCATATGATAAATAATTGCCAAACTAAGACATTTAACAGGAATTATTTAAGACAAAGGTCATGAAACTAACTTGACAACATTTAAACTAAAGTCAGATGTGACCTGCAGTTGAATCCTTTCAGAGCATGCACATTGAATTCTGACCATTTTGATGGATTATTATTTTATTTTATCTTTATAATGCCTCGATGTAAAAAGAAGAATGTTAGCCCCTTCTCTACCTGTAATCTCAGGCACTTATTGTATGTTTTATGCTGCCCCCTAGAGGTCAAAGTACCCAGGTTCATAACTTTTGTGCATGCTTGTGTGTCACATCTGCAACCTCTTCAAAGTTGCTCTCCCACACTCCCTTTTCATTTGTAGAAAAAGTGAGTTTACAGAAATCCCCAAAGTCAGTGTAAACTGTGTCAACCACGAAACCAGCCTAATTTATAATACACTTGGATTATGCCTGTTACATCTATGGGACTTACTGTGAAAAAATGGATAGAGGAGGATGTAAGTTATTGAAGTATTTTGGAAAGTGTCTTTACAAAAATATTACTTATAGGTACAAAGTACTTTTATGTTTGCACAACTTCAATGTTAACTTTTAACCAAAATATTGTGATTAGGAAAGAAGAGCCCAAAAGAAACATGTTTCTTTAAGTTGTATTACATTTTCAGATGCAATACTTTCTGACATGCAAACAGGCCTGTTAGTCAGCTGAACTTCACATTAAAATCTAAATCATGCTTTAGCTGCCAGGATCGCATACTTAGTATATGACTATGTTTTCAGTGAAAAGTTTATAGATACTGTTATCATAAACTTAATAAGGTAAGAATAAGGAAGTCAAACAAACTAGTCTGCAGAAACACGGACAGATGGACATTGTTGAACATGTTGCATGTTAAAGACAAGCAATCACTATCATTATTTCCCCTGTTAAATCTAAAAAAAAGAAAAAACTGATAAGCGGCTCTGGTGGTCTCGTGGTTAGTTTTCGTGCACCATGTACAGAGGCTGCACTCCTCAAAGCAGACGGCCCGGGTTCAAAGTCGACCTGTGGTTCCTTTCCATCACGTTACTTCCCTCTCTTTCTGTCCCTAATTCTGTCTCTATCCACTTGTCCTATCTCTACAATAAAGGCATTAAAAAAACCTTTCACTCTGAATAGTTTTATTTTGATCTTTGGACCGCTTTTATGTTCATAGCAACCTGGCACTCTTCTCTCCACTTTGTTTTTTAATTGTTCTTATTTTCTATCTGGTAATACAACCAACCACATACCTGTAGTGATCATGTTACCATTATCATTTAACATGATTAAAACATACATTAAACATGAGCCCACAATACCAGGATAAAAAAGTGGTATGGATGGTCCATGTGCATAAGTAGCTGTTACTCATAGATAACAGTACAAAATACTAGCTCTGCCAGTGCATAGTATGATAGATACATAAAGAATTATTATAAAAAAGCAGTCAAGTGTGTAAATATACAGTTTGATATATGCAGCTCAGGCTAAAGTTTAAAAGTGTAAATGTCTTTTGTCCTTACTTAAAGGGGTTTCGTTATAAAGTGCAATTGCAGTAGGTAAAAAAGTATTTTTAAATCTGTCCTTTTTGCAGCATAGCTGCCGTAGCCTCCCACTAAAAACACTCTTTTGTTCACACACGAGATTGTGTAAGGGATGTATGTTATTCAAGATTGGGCCAGTGATTCGTATAAGAGGCAATAATGACTTTTTCCTGTTAATGATCAACTTTTATTCTTCTAACATATTTCTATAATACTACGTCATGTTGGAGCTCTGTAATCACATGCTAACATGCTATAACCAAGATGTGAGGGCGCTAAATATCAAATTGTGAAAATATTATGATAAGAGAGAGATAAAGAGAGAGCTTTGACTTAGGCTACGGACTGAATTGCAGATAAGAAACGATAATTGAAATATAATGACGTTGTTGCTCTGTTTAACTCAACGGAGCACTGAGGGAATGCTACTTTCAAAATCATGCTAGTTTTCGAAAATTACCAACCCTGCCTTTAATATAGGACTCTGTCAATCAAAAGAGAACTTATTACTGGGATCCATTGTCATCTTGTCATTCGGCCATTCTGACATGGCAAAAACAAAAAGTCATAAATGTATGTGTTTTCTAGAAACATTCACTGAAAACTGCTCAGGACGTGATGTCTGCGAGAACTACCCTGTCTACTCATTCTGGAAAAGAGCCTGAGCTGCAGTAAGTGGCAACAACAGTTAACTTCTTTTTTTTTATTATGGTCAATACAACCGTAAAGAGCAATTCTCTTGTAGTGCTTAACATGTAAGGTTTGAAGATACAGCAAAGAGGACATGGGAAAAACATGCCAGAGACAACACAGGAGGGGAGGGTATTTTTTTTACCAGAATCCCACTGTGACATCACAAGGAGAACAAATTTGAAACAGAGCATTGTTCTCTGTGTTGTAAGATTTATGCAGACCACAAACAAAGGACTGGGTGGGTTTATTTCACATTGTGTGACGGCCCTGGCCATGGTGTTTGGGCCTGGTACTGCTTGTGTTTTGTGTTTCAGGGTTTGGCGTCATCTGGTGGTTGGTGGTGGCATGCCTGCTGGGCGTTGGGAGACTCGCCCACCTACCTGCTGATTGCAGATGGGCTTCACCTGAGTGGAAGGGCACACAAGCCAGGCTGCCAGAGCTTTCTGTTGGTTCCTCGGGACAGACTGGACTTATTTCCCTTTGCCCTTGCATTTTTGGTTGTTCTGAAATGAACTGAAACTAAAGAAGCAAGTTGACTGTGTGGACCTCCATTTTGAATGTTAGGGCCTACACGAGCTGGCCGTAACACATTGTATGGGTCAGTAAGTACTCAGGTTACCCAAATATATGTTCAAAAACACTGTAAAAGTGAATTTTTCAGGATATGTCTACTTTAATGAAAATTTGTGTTGGTAAAAAGAAGTTTGCAAATATATTCCCGATGAATGCTTTCACATTTGATGAAAAACACAATAGAAACAGCATTATCTTTGGTACAATTTATATAAGTAGAGTGTAAAAATATACATGTCCAACAGCAGTGTTGTTCTATTTATAATCCAAGAAAAATTTGTAAAAAACTTGCTGTTGCATGTTTATATTTTCACAAAACGTCTTTCTTCTCCTCTCTTTATGTTCTCTGTGTGATGGACCTGTTGTCCAGATATAATATGTGCTGTCATTTCTTCATGTCTCTAGTTTGCTTGACATGCCTGTGGAAATGTTACAGCACTGCTAAGTGGATATGCCGAAAATCCGTTTAATCCCAATAGGTAGATACTTCACTTCTTCCAGTCCACCTTTTTATGAACAATTGTTAATGACAAAAACTTTTTTTGTTATATCACCAAAAATGATAACAATGCATTATCATGAATAATCTATTTTCAAATTAAATGTTGTTGTAGTTTAGCAGTTGTTGTTTTGTCAATTAACTAGAGAGCTGCATGTTGCTGACACTTTTAAAATGTGTTGATTTAATTCAATAAAGAGACTTTGTCTTTAATGTTTTTGATAGTACATTCGGGAAAGTCGTGTTACCAGAAGTTCCCCAGAGTGAGATACCTGAATGTTATTCTAGTCATCAGACGTAAGATATTGCTTTTGTTGTTGTGAGTCATGGTTTTGACTAAGATTTTTTTTAAATATTGTAAATATAAAATCTTTTCTCTACGCATATTATTTATAAGATGGTAATGTAATGTAACTTTCAGTTATCAGTTACTTGCAAAGCTCCATAACTTCACTTGTTTCTTTGTCTCTCATTGCAGAGATCAGATCAAGGAGTTGCACCTCAGATACAAATAAAGGCTGTGGAACCTGTCTGGTTAAACTGCAAGGCTTAAGATGAAATGAACAAGAAATCTTCTAATTGTTGCTTTTTTTGGGATTATTACCTCATCTTTGACCAGAGTAATATCTGATCTGATGTAGCAGAATTACTTCACTTTTTGCATGCACCCTCACGTTTTCTTCTTCACTGGGAGAAGTTTTTTAGGGGAATCTTTCCTTATCCAAATTGACACTCTCTGAAAAGAGGATGTGATATGCTGCTGTTGTTAGTCAGAGCTGGTTTTTGATAACTAAAATGCAGAGCACAGAGTCAGAGGCAGGGAGTAGGTGCAGATGAAACTTGAATTTCTCTTGGTCATGGGTATGCATAGGAAAAGCCACAGGCAGTAAATGGAGCTGAGCAAGGCAGGCGAGTTTGCAGGGGGGAAGGCCAGTTAGTTTGAGTCCAGAATGTGTGCTGAGTTAATCCAGTTGACGTAGGAGTGAGATGGCGGCAGGAGTTGAGCGGAAGGTAACTTTAGGCAAAGGTGAACAAGTGTGAGTCATTTGCATGAAAATTGGCTGACTGCGATTACAGAGTCTACAGTCT